GGTTGTAGTTGCTCGGGAGTCCCTGCATGGCGTGCGTGACATACGATGCCATTGAGTACTGCGCGGTGACCATCCATATGGTGGCGAGAATTCTCCGAGCTCGGTTGCAGTAGTCGGTCGCAGTCTCCTGGTCGCCCGTCCGCAGGTGCGTCAGCTGCCCTTCGAGCTGGCCGATGAACAAGTCGTCGGTGACCTGGTAAGTCGACTCGATGAAATGCAGCGCCTGGTGGTCGGCGTCGAGGTGCTCCCTGCACGACTTCAAGGCGATCTGCACGCCCGGCAAGCAGCACCGCGAGATGACCGTGAAGGTCAGCAACTGCACAGCGCGAAACTCCGCACGCAGATCGGGGTCCTCCGGCGTCGCCACGGTACCGCGGGCAAAGCCGATCAGCCCGGCCATCTCCAGCTGGGGCTCGCTGGCTTCCTTCTAGGTGAGAATGTCGGGTCGACCGACCAGCAGAGGAGTGACCAAGATCCTGTCCGGCGTAAACTTGAAGTAGCCGTAGCTCGGCGCAATCCCGCCCGCTGTCACGTGGGTCGCCGACATCGGCGACAATCCGCTTCGTCGACCTCCGAGGTCGCCTTGCGAGGAGCCTGCAGTCGCCGACGACCGCATTCCTCGTGCCTCAACGCCGCCGAATTCATCGGCGTGAATCACACCTCACTGCCTAGACGTGCCTCCCGCACTGCTGCCGACTTGACCACTACCGGCGTTGACGCCCGCGTCGACGCCGCCCTCAGTCTTCACTAGACGAGGAGAGACAGACCGAGGAGGGTGCTCCATCGCCCACACGGCACGGATGCCAGCCTCGACGACCGCCCAGGGCAGGTCGCCATACTCGTTTGCCTCGTGACGTCTCCTTGCATTCTCCAACCGTGCCTCCAGGGTGTCCACCACCCTCGTGTCAAGTGCGGCGCCTACCATAGTGAATACCGCACAGCTGCCGGCCTACAAACACAAATTAGTTAAGTGACCACTACGTCGACCTGACTGAAAGGTAAGTTGTGTGCCGTCCACGCTCACCACACCATGCGGAGATAACTCTATCAACAGGAGCTACACTACGGGCTAGGCACGGGGTAGGAGGGATCTCTGCGTTCGTTCACTTAGTCGTTCTCTAGCACTTCTGCGTTCACAAGGCAAAACTGCAAGAGTTTCACTAGCAAAAGTTGAGAACAATGGTACAATCAAGTTGGCAAGACAAGACTATATCAGAGCTAGCATGCAAGAGGGTCGACTGCCAGCGCAGCATGGTCGACCGCGTTCCAGCACGACTTGGTGGACCGCGCTCCAGCATTGCAAAGTTGCGGCTTGCCAAAACTGCAAGTCGACGGTGTGCCAACGCTTGCATCCGCAAAACAGCAGCGCACCTGCTTCGCAGGTGCTCGCAGATGATTGACGCGCTGTGCCTTGTCACCTGCGCAGCGCACACACCAAATCAACCTGTCGCTGACGATCTCACCTGATCAGCCACGTCGACCTCGGGATACCACACCGAGGTCGGCCTCGCCACTAACACATGGGCGACTGTCGCGTGCTTTCGTAGAACTTCATCGCCCTGGTAACTTGGTCGATCGGGCAACCATCTCGTCGACCAACTTCTCCTTGTGCCCTTCGACCTCGCTGGTCGACGACCACCTTCAGACGACCACACTAGGTCGATTTCACTACTGGTCGACCAACTCCAGGTCAGCCAGCACACCTGTCAGCCGACCACCCACGTCGGCTTCCCCAGGTTGGCGTCGCCAAGACGACGTCCCGAAGTCGGCGCCTTTCAACCCGGCGACATGCTGCTCGACGTCCCCCCTATCGAGGTCGACGTCGGCCCCTCCTCCGTCGACCACCAGGTCGACCACCCCAAAGTCGGCACCCAGAAGTCGGCACCAATGCAGTGGCCCCCGCGCAGGTCGACCACAATCCACGTCCAGCTCGCCCACTGCTGCAGGTCGGCTGCAATCCCCCGTACACCCGACCACAAGATCGGCACCGCCCAAGCAAGGACGGGGCCACACCCAACTCCCGTTGACACCCATGCCCGATGTACTGCACAAGTGGCGCCAACGCGGCCTCCCAGTGCTCTGGTCGGTGTCTCCTGGGCGCAACGTAGCGTGCCAGGATGCTAAGAGGGTCAAGTGCAGGTCATTAGGTACATGAGGCAGCCCACAAGCTCTGGATACAGGCCACTCGGCTCTACGGACTCGTCCGAATGTGGAGCTGACAGCGAGTGACCGGTAGGCAGAGGAGTGGACTGTGGCGAGAAGTACCGGAAGCTGAAGCGCAGAAGGACCTGGTGCACCATGTGTGACTGAGTCAGGGTGATGGTGCGCCGTGCTCTGTCCCGGGTGATTTGCAAGCCAAGATAGCTGTGCAGCTCACCCAGGTCAGTGCACGTGTGTCTCTTCTGCAGCTCCTACTTCACAAGGGCCAGTGCCTCAGTGTCAGCAGTGGCAAAGACCAAGTCGTAGACGTACACGAGGACGTAGAACGGCGGCAGCGAAGTGTTGGTGCGCAGAAACAGCGACGGGTCAGCAGTCGAAGGAGCAAACCCAAGAGCCGCAAGTGTCGTCCTCAGTGTGTCGTGCCACTAGCGAGGCGCTTGGCAGAGACAGTAGACTAGCCGCCGGAGGCTCCACTGGGTACCTGCAGGAAACGACCCAGTGAAGCCGGGTGGGCGGCGCAGCCAGATCTCCTTGTGCAGGCTGCCCTGTAACCCCGCTAAAGTCAAGAGAGTGCAGCTCGTAGTCACGCTGAGCGGCGACGTGAAGTAGAACTCGAAGAGTGGTCATCTTCGGGGTAGGGGAGAAGGTCTGGAAGTAGTCAACTTCCTGTCGGTGACTGAAGCCTCGTGCAACGTAACGAGCCTTGAAGACAGGCGGAGAACCCGGCGGCCGCTTCACCCTGAAAATCCACATGCCATCGACTATGTTCGCCCAAGAAGGGGGAACTGCGTCGACGTAGGTGCATGTGGACTTCGAGGATGCCATCTCTGCATCCATGGCTATCTGCCACTGAGAGGAGTAGGGACCCGTAATCTCCTCTGCGTAAGAGCGCGGGGTCGGGATGTCTGGTGCATCCAGGTCTCCCTCAGGTGCAAGCAGCATGGCCACGAGATGAGGTACAGCAGCAGCAAGACACTCAAAGTCCTCCTGCATGTCATCAAGGACGTCCGTGCCAAGAGCACACTCACCCCCGACAGACGGAGGGCAGTCAGACTCAGATTCAGCAACAAGACTAGTGGCGTAGTCGAGACGACAGGCGGCAGCAAAGTCAACAAGCTCAGCAACTAGGGCAGACGCAAAAGTGGACTCAAACAAAGGGCCAGTGACAACAGTGGCTAGAAGACGAGGGACAGTAGGAATGGCACCACGAGCTAAGTCAGACTCAGGGTCAGGAACGTCAAGAAGAGAGGACGTAGGAGGAGATGGCAGGGGAACTTGCAGTGGAACAGAGGAAGGACGAAGTGCCATAATATGAGTGCCCGGGACAGGAGGAGGACGCAGACGAGGAACACGACGACCAGTGCGAACAGCACGAACATGCGAGGCAGAACGAGACTCAGGCTCACGACGCTCTGTAAGAGAGTCTGTCTGCTCAGCGTAAGGAGAAGGAGCAGGCAGTGGGGAGTCTGGCTGTAACTGTGGCTGCGTCTGGTGAGGCGGTGGACACAATAAGCTAGGAGTAAGGCCAGTAGAAGACGGGAGACTAAGAACCTGGCGAAGGACCGATTTAGGTGGCGGCAGAGACGACACCTGCGGCGGAACAAAAAACGGGCGCTGCTACACAGTGCCTCCAGCACCAGGACCGCCAGCTCCAGCACCCTTAGGGCCAGCACCTCCAGCTCCAGGGTCTCCAGCTCCAGTGCCTTCAGCGCAAGCTCCAGCTCCAACGCCTCCAGCTCCAGCTCCTCCAGCTCCAGCGCCTCCAGCGCCAGTGCCTCCAGCTCCAGGGTCTCCAGCTCTAGCGCCTCCAGCTCCAGCTCCTCCAGCTCCAGGGTCTCGAGCTCCAGTGCTTCTAGCTCCATGGTCTCCAGCTCCAGTGCCTCCAACACCACCAGCTCTGGCAGCTCCAGTAACACTAGTACGAGCACCTCCACGACCAGCAGCTCCAGCACCTCCAGCTCCAGTGCCTCCAGCGGCAGAGCCTCCAGGTCCTGCAACGCCACTCCTAATGCGTGTGCGTGTTGACTGGTTGGGGTGTAACTTAACCGGTGTCGGCGAAGTCGAAGTAGGTTTCGCGAGGGTTGTCGTCATCCATGGGTATGTCCACAGAGCAATACGGTAGAGGTCCGGCTTCTTCCGAAGCTCTGTCCACGTTCTGCTCGTCCCAGTCAGCTTCGTCTGCTGCTGAAGTGAAAGCTCGGTTGCCACGAAAGCCGCCCGTGAGGTCGCGATTTGCTGCCAGATTGTCCAGGTACGTTTGAAGTGTGAGTCGCTCGTAGAAAATGACATCACGTGCTGCTACTGTTTCCTTCGAGTGGACGTAAAAAATCTTCCATGCGTTGTAATGCTTTTCGATGCCCAGGTGTAGCCCCCACTGTGCGCGTTGGGAAAATCTTCCGGCTCTCGTAGTGTGCGGTCAGTACTGTACCATGCACCCAAAAACTCATAACATTTTTGTGCTGCCCAGTTTTCCTGTCCACAGCAGGTGCGGTGATGCGTTGTTTGGGAGTGATGATGACGAAAGCAAATTGTGCAGCATGACAGTGTGGTCCATCGTCTCAGGCCACTGGTGGTTGGGCAGTCGCATGCCACGCAATAGTTTGCGCATGGTGTTCTGGAGAGTCCTGTTCATCCGTTCTGCCACGCCTTCTTGTTGATGGGCCTAGGGAAGCGAGATGAGTCGCTTGATGCCTCGTTCTGCGAGGTACTGCCTGAACCTTTGTGACTAATATTCCCCTCCCCCGTCTGACTGGAAGCTTTTCATGTTTGGGTCAAAGCCTGCTGCTTGATTCCCGGGAGTTTCGGTCGACTCCGCAGTTGGTCTTGATTCCCCCCTCCAGCTACTGCTCCTGCCGCTGCTGCCAACGCGGCCATGCGTGCAACATCGTTGCCCGAACGTTCCACGAAGCTACGGCTCCTGGCGTGTCGGACAGGCGCACCCAACCCAGCCGCACCTCTGCCACCCGTTTCTCCGAAAACAGGCACATTCCTGCCACCGCCACCAATGACGCTGCCGCCCGTGCCGCTGCTGCCGCCCGCATAACCGCCATTGCCGCCCGGAGAAAGGCCAGTTCCGGCAATAGCCCCGCCATTGCCCTCCCTAACACTTCCGTCCGTTCCGCCGCTTCCCCTAACCGCGCTGCCACTGCCGCTCACCCTACCAGCAGCAGCGCTAGCCGCAGTCGGAGAAGCGCCGTTACTGCTAGCCCCGTTATTATTGTTACTGTTAACAGCGCGATACCCTCCGCTGCTACCGTCGCGGCCACTCCCATCGCTCGCTCCGCTCGGCAGCGCGTTCCGCGCAGCAGCCGAGCCGCCGGTCGACGACCAGCTTCCGCTCCTGCTCACCCTCCGCACGCCTCCCGCCCCGCCGGCGGAAGACCAAGGGGGAGGCGTGGGCACGAGGGCAGGCGCAGGCGCAGGGGTGGGGGAAGACGTAGGCGCGGCGGATCTGGGCTGCGTTTGGGCGGCGGAAGCAGCGGCGTGAGCGGAAGAACGCGCGGGCGCAGGCGCAGGCGCAGACGCGGAATCGCCCTTCCTTCCGCCAATCCTTCCGCCGGGCGACTCGGCCTCCACCGGCCCTTGGCAAGTAGCAGAGGAAGCAGGGGAAGCGTGGGAGGAGGCATGAACACCGTTGATCGACTGCCATCCGGCCGTTCCTTGACTTGCGCTGCCAGCCGTCGCGCTCCCAGCCGTCCGATCATTCCTCGGATCATTCCCAGCCGTCGGATCATTCCCGCTCACGAGATCCATCGCTGCGGCCGTCATATCAGCGGAGAAGAAGTGCCGCGGGATGCGCCGCACGCGCACGAGCTCGTTGAATGACACCTGGCGCGTCGGCCGCCGTTCGCCGCGGTTCGGCGGGCTGACGCCGGACGATGACGCCACTGCCGCCGGTGCTGACGTGTCATTACCAGGCTCAGGAATGGATCGGCCAATGGTGGGGCTGTTTAAGAGATCCGTGGGCTCGCAGGGATCCTGTAACGATAGCGAGTTTGGGATCACGCACTGACGCGTACGAGAGGAAGCGGAGGCGGAGGTTGCGGAGGCGGAGGAAGGGGAAGAGGCGGAAGCGGAAGCGGAAGCGGAGGGAGCGAGACATGCGGGGGTTGTGTGCGAACGGTAGATCCTGCCGTTGGTGTTCACGCGAAATCGAATTGGCTCCGTCGATTCTCGGCCCCGACTCTGTCCCGGAGGGGTAGTGCCAACCGCGCCGGACGCGGAAGGCGAGCGCGAATGAGTGGGGCGGGGAGCGGCATTAGGGGAATTTGGGCGCGGAGGGGGAGGGGTCGGGCGGGATAAACCCCTCCTGGACGGAGGATGGGTGGCGCCGAGATTCATATTACCCTTCGATTTCGAGGGTTTTGAGAAATCACTTCCGTAACCACCCCCGAAGCCACCCCCGCCATAACCACTCCCACTGTACTCAACCGGGCTCGAATCATCCGGCACGAGATCCTTGAGCGACCCGCAGCTTGCGGAGGGTCGGAACGCGGTCTGCTGCGCTGCTCCACTCGTCTTCTGCTGCGACTGCGGCTGTCGTCTCCGCGCGATAGCCGCCTGATGCTCCACGTGGCGCGTGTAGGAGACGCCGCCGCAATTGTCGCCGGCAATAGTCCCCGTCGCCGCCGCCGCCGTAGACGCGGTGAAATCGTCCCACGCGCGGCTCAGGTCGTCCTCGTTCGCGCTAATGACCGATCCGATAGAAGCATTCGTCGTTCGCAAAGACCCACCCCCGAACGACGCGCGTCTCGCGGGTGCCCTACTTGCGGGACTGGCGCCGTCAGTTGCGGCACCATCGGCGCTCCTCCTCCCTTGACTTTGTCCCTTCCGCGTATTGTTTAACCACGACACGGCATTATCGATGGAGATGACACGTGGCACGGGCGAGGCGCCGCGGCTCGGATGGTTCGGTCCCGTTGAAAGACTCTCCGGCGAGAGGTCAGCAGGAGGCGGCGACGTAACGCTAGAACCTGTTATTCGCCAAATTCCCTTCGTCGTTGCTCCATGCGATCCCGACGACGTCGGCGACGGCGATCGGCTGTACTTCTGCGACGTCGCAGAGGACGGCCGGCCAGGTCGCTCGGCGTTGCTACTATCGCCGTTATTGCCGCCGAACATCCCCGGCGCTGCTGCGTCGACGGACGCGCACCGCGCTACAAACCCGCGGCTCGCCGCAGGCGGGCTAACATGATTGGCGGCGCCGCAGGGAGCCGCGTGATTCGGGCTCAAAATTCCTTCGAGAGATCCCGAGTGGAAGCCATTGGAGGTTGACGGTCGTGGCGGCGCCGTGCCGGTTCGCGTGAACAGCCGCGCGAACTGCGCGCGCCGTCCCGTCGTCGATCGCCCCGACTCGCCGCCCGTGCCGGAGCCGTATCCCATATCTTCCGTGTCCGACGTGGCGTTGCCATTGGCGATCGTCTTGCTGGGGCGCAGTAGGAGTGAGCGCGAGCGCCTCGGTTCCGCGCCGCCTTCACTATCGGAGTTGCCGGCGGACGTGCCTCCGCTCAAGGAGCGCCGCAATCGGCGGCCCCATCCCGATGTCGAGAGAGGCGGACCCGTACGCGACGCCCGCTTCGACAGAATCGCGCACGCGCATGGATTGCGCCGACACGTGCAGGGCGTGCGCGCGGCGGGGCTGGGCGGCATCTCCCATTGGCTGTCCATATCCGCGGATTCCGCCGCCCGCTGCCGAACCAGCTCCTGGTTCGGGCTCCGAACCACCGTCCGAGCCTGGAAAAACTCCGACGGGGAGTGGCCGGGAAACGCGGGGGAGTTCTCGCAGCTGCTGAGGCCGAAATCTTGCGGGGAGGGGGAACAGGACGAGCCGGGGAAGGCGGGACCTGGGTAACCGGAAGGCGAGGGGGAGGTGGAACCGGGAAAGGCGGGATCTGATGAATTATTGATGGGAACGACGATCGGGGGAGGGCAGTAGGTGGAGAAAGAGGCGGAGCGCGACCGCGTGCGAGCCGCGCCGAAGGACCCCGCAGGAGCTGCGGGATTGTAGGGCACCGAGCCTGGAGGTAGTAGGGGTGATCCCCGCATTGCCGCTGAAGTTGTGGGAGCATCGCTGATGCTTAGCGATCGGTGGCGCTCGTACGCGACATCCATGGCTGTCAGCTGGAATGTGAAGTACGATCCGTGATTGAAGTTCTGAAATGGTCGGCTATGGGTTTTTAGAGGAAGGGAAATGAGTAACCTGTAAGGGAAAACAAAGACGCACGCACGAATGAGGAAAGGATTCGTTGAGTGTGTGGATGTCAGAGGCTGTCATGCATTTGAATTTGGGTAAGTAGCTATCGAGGGAGTACTACTAGCAAACCTTTGCTTTCGAGGGAACTTTATCGCTAGTTGAGGACACTTTCCGCAATAACATCCCTCAGGAAGGAAACTTATTGTGACAACTCAGGAATTCACTCTACATTAACCCACGTGTCACAAATTCAAGAGATGTCAAAATTGCGGGGCAAAAAAAAAAAACCCCTAGGGACCTGGAAGGATCAATCCTAGTTTTTTTCGGGTTGATCCCTCCCCGAGTCGCATCCCCTTTTGATTGGGTTTTAGTTTGTTTTGGTCAGGTGGGGTGCAAAACATTTTCTAATGTTGCGAAATTGTGACACGTGGATGAACGTGGAGCAGATTCCTGAGTTGTCGCAATAAATCTCCTGTCTGAGGGTAGGAAGAGCGGAAAGTGTCCCCAAGTAGGAGTGAAGTTTCCGTCAAAGCGCAGGGTCCCCAGTAATGTTCCCTTCATATCTGAAAACCCTTTGAATTTTATTAGTGCAATCAGATGGCATGAGGAAGAGGTGGAATGGTGGTGGAGGGGAGAGATGACGAAGGCAGTGGCGTTGTGTGATGGCCCAATGGTTATCATCATCCATTCCACCACCACCCAACCCCACCCAACCACGCACCAGCAGACAAACCACCAGCAACCCAGCTTTCCCAGTGCAGGCAGGCAGTTGCAAAAGCTAGCAAATTGCATGATTGCACGGATGTGTCTCTCTGATTTGGTCCCTTCAACCTTCGGGTCGCGGGCATTGCCTTTGGCTGGCGCGGAAAGCAATGTGGACAAGGGGAAGGAGCTTTGGCGTGTAAGGGTAAGTACCCGTTGTTTTCCATATCAATGGTGCAATTGTATCAAGCTGAACCCAAACTTGTCCTAGTGCTCCTGTGCCTCCATTTCTTCCACAGCCCCAGTGCCCCATTGCCTCTGCACTGTACATGTACAGTAACTCTCATTAACCGAAGCATGGAATGCAAGCTAACTGTGCGAAATATGGAAATGGAGCGCAGATGCTGGGGGGGTGGTACGATGGATGTTTCGAACGGAACGAAAAAACACTGGGACCAATCATATCTTGCATTTTGCCTTCACTACACGTACAAGTTCCTGACAAGTTTCCCGAGTTCGACAGGTGAACCAAGGGTGAAAGAGGAACAGTTTCACGAAAACCGCGTCACTTGGTGGCGCGACCTGAGATAGGACTTTAATACCTGCGACTCGAAAATGTTTCCCCCCGGGCAACCACATGTGACGGATAACCCGTTGCGAAACGACACGGCGTACCCATCGTATCATAGGATCCGATCGACCCAATCCACAGGTGCATCCGATCGACACGATTGCTTTTGTTGAGGACGCAATCGGGCAGAGATGGGTCTGTGCAAATACTGTACTGCACTGTTACATGTTGGCTTGGCGACTTTGCGGAAGGCAAACTGGGGACAACGTACACCCACTTTCTCAACCTTTTCACCTTGCGCGACTCGTCGCTACAGTGCTTGTCTCATGCGATCTGGTGCCAATAAACGTTCCTAGGCAACCTGGGGGGAAAGCCGGACCACGTGACAAACTGGCTCAAGGACGTAAAATCTCCGTAATCGCTTCATAACTTTCCCAAACAGATGAAAACGTTGACAACGCTTTTTGTAAAGTGCATAACCTAACCGCATTTTTCGCATTGTGCTTGTACAGTAGGTGACAAGACCATTCTGAACGTGGTGACGTTCTACAATCCATGTACGTTCTCCAACCAGGTGCTCTACTAGCGCGAAAGAGGGTGTACAATAAAATTCAATACTGTATCGTAGTTCGCAACTAATGAACTCAAGGAATTGCACGCGAAGGCGGCGAAAGCAGAAAGTGCTGGTGCGATTGATCCGGTGGGGGCTGCAAGTAGGGCAGGGCGGGACGGGCGGCATTCTCCCCCAACGATGGATCAGCCAACAGTATCCTTCCTGGCACAAATGCAATTGCTGCACCCAGCTGTTCCGCTTTGTACAGTAGCCCTCAGAACCCTCCTTTGTACGGGGGCCACCCTCCAAACCACAAAACTCGTGTGACGTGTCGTGTTCTGTGGGTGCTTGCTGTGGAAGGGACCTTGGTTCCACTCACAGCTTGGAGCAAGGAAGTTCCGCTCCATAAAGAACCTCTGTACAGAGTAATTGAGAATCCACTGAATGCCTGGGTGAACATTTTAATCATGAGACAATGATATATTAATTATTTTGTAAATATTGTTTGAATACCTCAAGGTAGCATCTACAACAATAAATGAAGGCACTGCCCAACCCACCCACTCACCATAAGACGAGACCATATTTACGAGAGGTGGCGTAGCTGAAGGTAACCGTTACCTGTACTACGTTCTAAGGAGTTAGCCATGCTATAATCAATTAACCCTTTCACAGTGCAACACCCTCCCGTAAAGAATGGGGCGTCCAATCCGCCTGTGAGAACAAGTGAAGTGCACATGCCACCTCCTCCCAATAAATGCACACATTGCATCACCCTGAACCTGTCTTCTGGTGTCACAAACAAATCAAGGAAAGCTCATGTGTCATGTACCGGTGTGACCCTCACAGCTTTGCACATGCATCCACTCCAGTCCGCAACCACTTTCAATAAGGGTACATTCCTGTGGGGACACTTGTGTCTCAATCCCCGTTTTCCCGAGTCGCGCCTGTTAATTTTCCCAATGTTGTGTCACAAACATCGAATGTACCGCGATGTAGGGCGACATATTGGCAGGTTCAGTTGGACACGTTTCACTGGCGGGGATCAAAAAGAGATGTACAGGTGTGTGCATTTGACTGGGTGACAGTACACCCGTATTTTCAACCTCCGAGCAGGGGCGTGGTTTCGATGCGCGGGATCTTTTCCCTCGCAAAATTGGCATTTTCGGATGTCCAGGTGCATGTGGTCGTGTCGGGCATTTCGAGTCGCGTGCGATTCTTTAACAATGACGGGTCGTTTCACAATTCGACAGCGATGTCAGCGCGTTTCACGCTGACCAATAATAAATACAGTACAAGTCGCCGAAAGCCGATTCGCATTTGGGACACAACACAGTTTATGTTGTTTTTGGGTGTCACAAAGTGATTGAGACACAAGTGTCCCCACAGGAATGTACCCTAAGCTCTTGGTGCGTGTTCCATGGAATAATCTGCTGGTTAACAATGGTCCTAAATGCTTATTTTCTACTCCCCAATTGCCTCTCCCCACTCTCCTTCCCAAGAGTTACACTCGTTTCCCACTCGTGTCCCTCCCCCCTATTCCCCCCTTTTCCACCATCTCCGTTCCCTTCCCATTCCACCCTTTCTCTTCCCTTTCCACTCCCCTTCTTCCCACTCCATCCCTTATCGCTCCTTCCCACTGCCCCCCTCCTTCTCCTTCCCACTAGCCCCCTTCTTAAATGAGGCCCATAAAGGCTTGAGCCCAGCACTCCACTTCTCATCCCCTTTCACACCCCCACCCCCTCCAGCAGTTAAAGCCGAAATCCGGGCAGCAGTAGCCGGCCGCATCCCCCCTGTCGTTTTCTCCTGCACAGTCGGGCTTCTAAACACACTTAAAGCCCCCTTGAGCATCGGAGACATCTGCCCCGATTTCAGCCGCATGCGCATCGTGCCCCACTCCCGAGCCTGGTGCCGAGCCTGCGCCCGGACGAACTCCTTCCCGCCCGAACCTGCAGGTCCGGTGAGGGCGGTCCGGTCGAATTCCTCGTCCTCCTCTATATCCTCTGCTGGTGATTGCGGCGGGAAGAGGTTATCAAACTCGGATCTCTGACTCTTGATCCGATTGGCTGCTTCCTCGAACGGATTGCTGCTGCTTCCCATACTGCCAATGCCACCGGTGCTGCTGCCAGTACTCGCATTGAAACTGGTACTGAACAAGAAGTTGCCTACACTATTCCCAATGTCACCCCCAGCAGCAACCGGCGAAAACCCTGCAGGCGAAAACCCTGTAGGGGGAAACCCAGCAGCACCACCAAGGGGATAAAACCCTTCGTTGCCACGTGCACCCACCCCTGCTGTCCCTGCTTCCCCACCGCTCCTTCCAAAACCGCTACCCTCAAAACCGCTGTTCCCAAAACCGCTGCTTGTAAAGCCACTGCTGTTCGGAATGCTGCCCTCCAGGGCGCTGGTGTCTAGCGCGCCAAGGGCGCCCTCACTGCCCCCCATGCGCCTGTGCCCTTCCCCTAGCTTCCGCCCCCCGCCTGCTCCCTGCCTCCCTGCTGCCACGTGCCCTGTCAGGTTGGGGTTCAGGTGAAAATCTGGAACCACTGTGGTGAGGTCTGAAGTGGGTTCAGTGTGGGAGAGAGAGATATTGTGCCGAGCTGCTGTAGCTGCTCCTGATTGTGCCTCTCCGCTCCCCTCTCCGCTGCCTGCTCCTCTGTGCTCCCTCTGCTGCTCCAATGCACCCCCCTCTGCATACCCCTCTCTCAACACGCCCCCCATTGCTGCCCGCGGAAACGCATGCGCCTGCTGCTGTTGCTGCTGCTGCTGCTGCTGCTGCTGCTGCTCGGTCCCCCTCCCTCCTACTCCTCCCATCCCTCCACCCATTCCCACCCCAATGCCCGCCGCCCCTCCCCCCGACCTGATAGGAACGAGCCCCGCATATTCCGCGGGAACCATGGGCAGCGGTTGCCCCACGCCGAGGGACGCGGAGCGGGCGCCCGTTGGGGCGAACACGGCGGAGTGCGAGTGCGACGGGAACATCCCCGCCCCCCGCGCATGCGCAGCGAAATCCAGCAGCGGACTGTTCCCCATCCCCGCTCCCCCTCCGCCTCCCCCTCCGCCTCCCCTTCCGCCTCCCCCTCCACCTTCCCCGCCTCCTCTTCCCCCTCCCGCTCCCGCACCAGACCTTAACCCTAACCCTCGCCCGGATCCAATCCCAAGGCCGCGCGCATTGGTGGTCATCATGGGGGGTTGCCCGCGTGTCTGCCTGTACCACTCATCATCGTCCACGTATTCATCGTCTCGCCCCGTCCGCGACACGACGAGCTTCTCCCCAAAGTCGCCCACTTCGAAATCCGCCATCATATCAGAAAGCTCGCTCATCAGGGATTCCCGCGCGCTCACTTGCGAGCTAAGAAGGTTCTCCCTTCCGCCCTGGAAGCTTCCTCCGGTTCCCCCTGCTCCTCCCGTTCCTTCCCTCCCGCTCCGGTTGAGATTTTCGCCTGAGCTGCTGCTGCTGTGTTCCGACGCGCCTGTACCCGTTACAAGCCTGCTGCTGGCACCGTTACAGCCGGCTTCTAACGGGTCCAGAATATCCGGTTCATGCATGTTCTTTTTATTCACAAGATAAGCGTGCGGCGCGTCGGGGTACAGTTGCAGCACTGTGCGCTTACGGAGTCGGCCTCTAGCGGATCGAACCACCTCCTTGAAGGTCGCTTCCAGGCAATCTGCTAGAAATGTAGGCGCGAAATGCGCGGATAAAGAGCGAGCCATCTTCGCCGATCGACCAGATGGAAACGCGTTACTGCTGCTGCTGCTGCTGCTGGTAGTAATGGCGGTCGAATCAGTCTTAACTGGATCTGTGTCGGCGCTAGTCGCGCTACTGTGGGGGGTAGCTGCCGCCGTGGCTGGTGTCTCGCCGTCCTGTGCTGCTGCAGGGAGCGCGGTTGGCACGGGCGAGTCCGTACGCTCCGGCAGACTTGTAACCGTTACACAGTTGCACTTGCTCGCAGGAGGGGCGGTTACTGGTCTTTGCGGCGGCTGGCGGAGCGCGTTCGCGGCGGCGAGAGCGGCCCGCGAGTGCGAGCGGGGGTGCGGGAGCGAGGGGGCGTGCGGCGAGAGCGTGTGGGAGAGAGTGTGGATGACGGTGGATCGAAGCTGGGAGAGAATCTGGAACGCCCTGCAGCGGTCTAGAGCGTCGTCTGCGACAGCGAAGGCGATCAGACCCTGACCGAAGGAGAGGAAGAGATTCGTGCGACCGTATCCCTGTTGTTGGGAAGAGGTAAGGAAAGAAGGCAGGAGCAGGGGGGAGGGTGGGGGGAGAGGGGAGAGAGGGGGAGTGAAAAGGGGAGCAGCTTAAGGGGAGCGGGAAATGGGTCTCGCACGCGCTGCAGCTGCCCAAAGCGTCATCCGCGACGGCGAAGGCGATCAGGCCCTGACTGAAAGAGAGGAAGTGGTTGGTGCGAGCGTAGCCCTGTTGTTTGGGAACAGGTAAGGAAAGAAGGCAGGAACAAGGGAGGGGAAGGGGGAGGGGGGAGGGGAGAGGGGGGGAGTGAAAAAGGGGGGGAGTGATGAGAGGCGCAGTTGAAGGGAAGCTGCGACAGAATCTGGAACGCCCTGCAGCGGTCTAGAGCATCGTCCGCGATGGCGAAGGCGATCAGGCCCTGACTGAAAGAGAGCAAGTGGTGCGACCGTAGCCCTGTTGGGAGGGTGAAGGGGAGGAATGAGCGGTGGAGATTGAAGGAGAGAACGGATTCAGCTTCTACACCTTGTCTGGACGATTTCCTTTTCTTCGTCAAACCCTGAAGAGGGTTATGACCAAGAAAACACTTTTATTTCGTGGCCCTAGGTTTTTTTTAATATGCAGACAAAAACTAGGGTTTGTGGTGGACTGACGAAAAGCGGACGCAATGATAAAAACTTGACGACTCATTTAGTCCCTGAATTTCGATGGAGTGGGTCGCTAGACCATGAAAAGTTACGGATCAAGGCTAATACCAACGTAGAAGTGGCTGAGAATTATCACTTCTCTCACTCTGCAAAATTTACTCTCCTAGACAGCTACATTCTGTTTATCCGCTGGGGAGAACCTGCGGGGTAGCATAAACATGTTGCTCGGTCGACACAAGGAAAAAGATGCAAGAAAAAAACGCTTCCCGCTGACGCCTCACCAAAGAGTATGTGCTACAGTGCCGAGGAGCGTCTGCCAGCACGGCAGAGACGGCGCTTCGCAGAATCTTCCTGTGCCGGCCGAAATCAACGAGAATAGACGGCCCTCGCGCTATGCCGATGTAATATACGAGCTGCGTCTCGCGATCTTTGTCGGGATGCGCAGGCGCCTGGCCTGGCGCGTTGTTCACCGCATCTCCCGCCGCGTCCCATGCGCTAGGAGTGAGGGACGAGGCGAATGTGAAGAGAATAACAGGCTCTTTAGGCGGGAGTCTGTCGCGTCTTGACACTCTACCCATCCTTAATCGCCTCTGATAATCTTCAGAATTCGTTTTTTTGACCTAATATGAGGCCAGTTAACCCTTGCAGTGGCGACGGGAACGAGCGCGAAAAACCAGTTTGCGAAATCAGGTCTGCGAATTGGCGAAAAGAGCTGAGGGAATCGGCCGGGACGACGAGCGTGGCTCTCGTGCTGCTCAATTGCGCTGGACCGATGCGGACGGTGAGATTAGGTCACGATTAGATTCTAATCACGTTGTAATGAGTATCAAATAATGGCGGCGAAATCAAGTAGTTCAAGTTGGTAACAATCGCTACAGCCGCTTCCAGGTTGCAAAAGGCAACACCTGTACGCTCCCAAGCGACTATCTTACGGGGATACTGACTGGATGATTTTGGGCCAGGACACAGTAACTGAGCTACTACTAAGCTAGCTGGTTCCAGGTTAGAAGGCCGGAAATGAATAAAGAACTAAGGTACTTCAGCTGTCACTAACCATGCTAGCTAGAACAGCGAGACTTTGTTGAGCTGCGACCTCGCAAACAAGCTGGTGGAGCTATCAAAGGCACTCCATTCTCCCTTGGCTAGATTTTGTTGACCCTTTTGTCACATGGTCGTCCCTTCCTAACATTCCTACCTTCACCCATCCACTCATATCCCTCCCGCGCCCGCGTACCCATCTCATATCCTCTTCTCTCGTTCTTCCTGACAACCTCCACTTTCTTTCCTGCAATCAACTCCTCTCCTCTCCTCCCCTCCTCCCCTCCTACCCTCCCCTCCGCCCCTCCCTCTCCCCCACTCTCACTTGGCCAACAAACAGCGTGCATGTCTCTGGCAAACAAGATCCTTTGTTCTGTCTCTCCGCTCTCGTCCTATCCTTCTCCAATCCGTTTGCGCTTGCCTTGATTCTTTTGGCCAGGATTTCTGGGCTCCAGCTTGTATTGGTCTCATGCATTCACCTCACAAGTATTTTTGTGCTTCTTTTTGTTCACCGTGCTTATATTATGGGTATGGACTAGAGCCGTAATAAATCACCCAACGAACATTCTCCCTACATACTCTGATTTTTCTTGCTTACAGGTTGTTCTATGTCCATGGATATAGGTGAACTGTATAAATAAATCCCACGAAAATAATATCACGACCATTCGAGTTTGTACTCTGGTCAGAACGGGGTTACTGTGAATGAGAAAGTGACAACTGCACAAGAACAATGTAGTGCTCGAATCAGATCAACCGAGCGTGCATCTTTATTGCCGTCGAGGTTGTCGCATTGATTTTTGCCAAACCCACGACTATTCTTCCGTAGTAGGTTTCAACTTCCTGTCCAGTACTCCCATCCCAAATATAGGACATAATGGATTCCATAGACTCCTAGCACTAATCCATATTTTCTGCGTCTTGTTCCACAGAGCGACCTGCCGGAGTATGGAAATCTAGGTAGTGTGGGTTATTACTGCTGCGAAAACTATCCTCAAGGACAGCCCACCCACCGTGAACTCTGAATCTTCCAGCCTGGCGACCAAACAGTGCGGCATGAAAAACAAGGGCGCCTGCTTGACACAAGGGCCCTCTGCACAAAAGCCAGCCTGGTTCAGTGCATCTTGGACCGTCGGATCCGCCACAGGGAACCGCTGGCCAGACAGCGTGGCGGAAGTTTGTCGTCAAGCAATCGGTGTTGGACCTTGAATAGTGCTGCGGCAAGTACACCAAAACCCCGCTATTTAGAAACCGCATAAACACGTTAGCTTAATCTGTACAGATACCACTTAGCATTACAATCTCCCTTATAAAATTCCTGACCTCGAAGTCTGCATTTCGACGACCACAACTGCATTTTTCAACATAATACGCCAAACACCACACATTCTCAACTATATTCAAGTATATGGCATCCGTTATCATCTCTCCGACAGCCTCGCCGCGACTGTTCTCAGCTTTGAGTACACCTTGCCAGCTGGCGACCCAAGAATGAGCGAGCAGAGCGCGTCTCGCGCCACGCGGATGTTTGCATATGCCCCAAGCACATGGATCTTGGAATCAGCAATCACGATACGTGTCCGTGTGGCATTCTCAATCGTGAATTTGGTCTTGCCGTTTTTACCTGACAGCCGTCCGATGGCTCGAGATAAGTGCTCCCCTCTGAGCGTTTTCACATCCTGTGAAGCACAGACGGGGGAGGAAAACGGGAGTAAAAGGATGTGGGAGAAGAAATCGAGAATGAGTGTGGCACTTGTGGAGGCACAGTAAAGCACGATTGATGCTCTCCTCTTAAAATCTTACTGTCCTGTTGCGGGGCGGGAGGGGGGAGGGGGAGGGGGGGAAGTTATCCTAGTTTCGCAACCGTCGAGCAACGATCACATGCTCATCTTGGCCACCCCTCTTCCGCTTTTGAGTTGTCACAAAACTCTCTTCTCCTCCTCTCACCCTCTTCAACACCTCATCAACCGTCTTCACCTCCTTTCACCCTCCCCATGGGCTCATCCTCTTCACCCCCTTTCAACCTTTCTTATTCAACGGCCGTCACAACACTCATCCTCGTCTGAGACGTTACAGAGGGCGTCCTTTCTCAACCTTTCTCACCCGTTACAGCTTCTGAGACGTCTCAAGACTTTCTCACCCTCGTCACCTCCTCCTGTCTCCTTGATCTCAAAGGTCTCTCACCCTGTTCCCTCCTTCCTCAAACCCCCTCACCCTCTCCCCCCTCCCCATCCTATTCACCATTTCTCAGCTTCAACTCGACCCTCCTCTCACTCTCTTCACCACCTTTCACCCTCTTCACCACCTCTCACTTGTTTCAACCCCGCCTCTCACGCCATCATTTCGACTCGACCCTCCTCCCACCCACATCCCCACCCGCTTCTCACCTTGATCTCGAACGACCCGATATAGAGGTCATGGATGCTCAACATGCCCCTCCTCTCACCCACTCAACGGCCTCTCAGCTTCATCTCGAACCGCCTCTCACCTTGATCTCGAACGACTCGATATAGAGGTCATCGATTCGCAGCATGGCGATGGCGTCTGTGAGGCTGAAACCCATCATGTACGCCGTCACAAAATCGGCGCATTTCTGCAGCGCCGAGGGGTCCGCCGTATCCCTCCGCGTCTTCAGCTCCACCTTGCGCGCCTGGCGGAGGGGGAGGGTTGCGGAGTGGCGCGCAGAGGCAGGGGTGGGGGGGGAGGGGAGGGAGGTGGGGGGACAGTCGGGGGCAAAAGGAGGAGGAGCGGGAGGGGAGTGACGAGGAAGGACGGGGAGCCACGGGGAGGGACGGAGAGGGACGGGGAGGCAGAGAGGAGTGGGTGAGGCTGAAACCCATCATGTACGCCGTCACAAAATCGGCGCATTTCTGCAGCGCCGACGGGTCCGCAGTGTCCCTCCGCGTCTTCAGCTCCACCTTGCGCGCCTGGCGGACGGATGCGGGGGGGGGGGGGAGTGGAGGGGAAGGGGGAGGGGGTAAGTGGAGGGGAAGGGAGGCGCGTGACGGTTGAGAGAAAAGGAGGGGAGAAGGGTAAGGGAGCGACGGGGAGGGATGGGGAGGGATGGGAGGGAAAGGAAGGGACGGGACAGGGGAGAATTGAGGGCGAATGTCGATCGTCATTCGTTCGAATACGAGAGTGTAGATGTCCATCCGTCGTCCCTTCAGCGGATGCATACCAAGTCAAGATTATACCTCGTTATTACAATATCGCTACACGCACTTACTTTAAGGTTCATGCGAATGTCGATCTTCATTTGTTCAAACACCGGAGTGTATATGTCCATCCACCGTTCCTTGAGCGGAGTGTACCGATGGGGCGGCACGGGAATCTTGCGGAACTCAAACTTGCTTCCCCCCATTTCCGCCGCCGTTAGCGCCGAGAATTTCGGCTTCGCCGGCAGTTTTCCGGCCGCCGGCGCATTTGACGGCGGGGCCGCCGTTTTCGCTGCGTTCTGCGAAGGCGCGTCTACCTCCATCGCGAATTCAAGTTGAGCCTCCCGTCAAATCAGTTCAGCTGGATTTTTCGGAAAAAAAGGAAGTGACCGCTAACTAGAATCGACTAGAAGTCAGAAAGTTTCTGACGCGATGTCGCGAAACTGCACGAAAGGAGAAGAACGCCAGGCAGAACGCAACAGGCAGAGGGAAAGGAGGGCGACGAGGAATATGTGGGATGCGAGGGTTCGGACGGTGTGTTGGAAGCAAGGCAGCCGACGCTGGAGCGCGAAGAACGGCGGGTGCAAAGGAGAGAAGCGGCGAAACCCTAAAGCAGCAGCCTGGGAAGTGCAGCGGAAAAGGAGGGCTTTGGGGAGGGGGACGAGGTTTTGAAGGGTTGGTGGTGTTATGATGCTTGCATGTACGCGATATGGTTTTTCATGTTTTGTTTGATTGAGTGCTCTTGCTGTATGTCTGAACATGAGAGCAGATATATTTGAGAACACTTAAACTGCAGTTGGGGTCACATGTTTACACGATTGGAATTCATCCAGTATTGACACTCAAGAAATGTACTCGAAGGTAAGAACTGCTTTGATAACACAATATAGTCACCAAGCTTATAGCATTTCTTTCTTAGCACACAACACTGTCGCCATCCACAGCCGCCTCAGGAGCAGCAGACGCAATAGAGATGAGCGGTGAGCCGGCAGCAAACATAAACGCCTCCTCTGCTGCCGCCAGGCGCGCCCGCCTCTTCTCCCTCTGCTGCCGGAACTTCTCCCGATTCCTCACCTTCCGCGAGTCGGGGTTCTCCTGCTTCTCCTCTGTCGCCGGGTACACACTCACCTGGAAAGACGGGGAGAGGTAAGTGAGTAAAGGGGGCGAATGAGATTCTGTACAGTGCATATGATGCTTGAGGCACCTAAGAAACTTGTCGTTTCTGCTTCTCCCCCTGCTGGCGGATCTCTACTGGTTTTTTGGGCCTCTGGATGTCAAGCTTTTCCTGCTTCTTCTCCCTCCCCAAGGACACACTCACCTGAGTAAATTAGGTGCAGGCATACGAGGGGGATTGTGAGAGGGGTGGGGTAGTGGCGCCTAGTGAAGGATGAACGCAGAGGATGCAACCGGCCCTGATTGGTTGAGCTCATCCAGACAATTTCACGCGCCATCAGAGTCTCTCTAATGCAAGTAGTCACCCCCTCCCACCACACCATCCGCACGTTGGAAAACCAGCAGACCCGCCAACATTCAGTATCATCCGCCAAGTCCATTTCTCATCAACTATTTTATATTCATCTGCAACCATAGCATTACTCCACGTTGGCTTGGCGGGTCATGTCATGACATGTCAAGTCAGCGCGGAGCAGCAAGCCTGTGGCAGTCAATCAGTTGGCTCCCTAAAAGCAACCTTGACCACTTTCTCCCAGAATTCGCTAAGACTTCACCCCTCTGGTTGGTCCTTTCTCGCTCTCCCTGCGCTGCACGCTCCTCCCGCCCTTCCTTCGCTCCCTGCTTTTCCTACACCCTTGAGACTGCTTCACTCACCTTCTTCCTCTTGTCGGGGCCATACAGCTCGAACTTCACGAGGCCGTCCACTAGCGAGTACAGAGTGTAGTCCTTGCCCACGCCGACGTTGGAGCCCGCGTGGAACTGCGTTTAAAAAAACTCCAAAAGAGAAAAACCATCAGAAAATGAAGCCACTACGAGTGGGAAACGAAGTGCTGCCATCGTGAGGCGATGAGACGTGTTATTATCAGCTTCAGTAGTGCAATCTGAGTATACTGTTGCTGATTCACTTAAAAAATTGTCCACTGTCTTCGGTTGTTGACGTGGATCGCGGACCCGAAGTTGCTGAACTATTGCTCTCAGGAAGGTTAAAAAAGATGCGAGATTATGTTAAGACGCTCAGAAATGTACTAATTAGCTCGACCCAAAACGATCAAGCAGAGTGCTTTCATGGAAGGTAATGAACATGCGAAAGGGCGCTTGCCTTGGCATGTTCACACACTCTCAGGCTGACACACGGACAGACTGACAGACATTGGAAACTCAAATTGTCACTGATGGCTACAATGCAAAGTTATCGCTTTTGCTCGAAGTAGCGTCGAGAATGCGGGGAACCCAGTGGTCGCTCTACGCCAACCTCATAAAGCCATAGAGCACTACGACCCGTTGACTCGGCGTTGACCTGGCGTTGACCCGATGTTGACTTGGGGTTTGACTAGGGATTGAGATACCTGGAACGGCGTAGCTTGCTAAACTGGATACAGAAAATGATACGAAGGGTAAATATTACCAGGCTACTGGTTATGACGCTACCGTGGTTTTCTAAAAGCCCACCAGCTCGCCACGCGGATATTGGAAACTCAAAAGTCCTTCACAAACCGTAACGCCCTGGATTATCGTCCCAACGCGCATTTACCGTTGTGCCACGTTGACGAACGATAATGCTCCCTGCCTTGGCCGGCTGATCGCCGTACACCTTGACGCCTAGCCGCTTAGCCTTGGAGTCGCGGCCGTTCTTCGTGCTACCGGACCCCTTCTTGTGCGCAGCCTCGATGGTCAGCGGCGCGCTGCGGGTGGTGGGAGCGAACGAAACCCTAGCGGAGGCGGCGGGGAGAGCCGCGCCGGAGAGAGCGGCGGAGCTGCTCAGAGAGGAAATGCTGAGCTTCTGGAACATGGACGAAACAGCCGCCATGGCTACACGCTGTGTGGTGTGCGTCTAGGAAGCGAAAAACACGCGGAAATGAGAATGAATGAGGTGTGGGGGAGAAGGGGGATCGGGTGAGGAAGAATGGAAAGGGGGGAGGAGGCACGTGCAGGAGGGCACGGAGACTGGAGTAGCAGCAGATAGGCTAGGCACAGAGGGGGAGAAGAGGGGGGCAGAGGTGATGAGAGGTGCGGTTGAAGGGGATGAGAGGATTCAAGAACTGGATTGATGGGGTAACATTTATCGCGGAAAAAGTCCTTGAGATAGGCGGGGTGAACAATTTTTGCGAAAGTATTTTGATCAGACGAACTCCTCTTGTTGGATTCGCAACATGGCTAAATTGTGGTAAAGCTGTGCCACGTCACGAGGAGGCTGAGGGTGTAACATAGAATCGATAACCGACGTGGCGGTTCTGTGTTTGCACACGAACGCGACAGCCAGTTTTCAAGGTTTTGCAGTGCGGAGGTGGTAACATGTCACACACAGTCTTTCGTTTCGTTTAGTAGAGAGGCACAAGCGTTCGCAAACTGCAGATTTGTCTTGTTTCTTCGCCGAGACCCGATCTGGTAGCCTCCATTCTCAAGCTCTTATTTCTCCTCCCAAGCTTCCAGCATTTCCTTCGCGCGCAAACTCCGCTGCAGCATATTCCATAATTTGACCTGTGATCGCTAGTCAAACGTGATCGCGTGATTTCCAGTGTTGAACGAAAGCAGGAGACCAAGAGTCAGTGACTTTCCGTTTGACACAGACTCCTTCCTTCTGAGCTTCCTACGCAATATATGAGTAGAGACTTACCAAGTGTCACCGGCTCCTGCACGTTTGTACAGACCTCCTTGGAAACGCGTCGAAAAGGTAGATAGTCGGGAGTTTTGTCTACTCGTCTGAAACTGCCGCATTCTTTTAAGAAAGATACGGGAATAATGCCAGCAGTTACCACATCCTTCGCGAGATCACTCGCACCGTCTCGCCTTTCGTCATTCAGCTCCGCTGAGCTACAAGGCTCCAGCCATGGCAAAATGGAGCTCCCAAGCTTGTGCGATAGGCTCGGCCCGAGCCTGAAACTCAGCTGGAACAATAAAAGCGCCACCAGCAGGGCTGGCAACGAGTCGCGCGTCGCGGAGACCTCGAGACTCGCGGTCCGATGCATGGCGCAGCCGCGGCGCGTGCAGATGGTGGCGCAGCAGATCCACCGCGAAGTTGCGTCGATGCTTCTCAACGACACCACGCTGCGCGCCGCCGTGCAACCCGAGCACGCGCTGGGCGCCGACAAAGTCATGTCGGCCATAGCCACGATCAGCGACGTGGAGCTTTCGGCGGATTTGCAGGTGGGTTTGGGGTTGTGCTTTACGCGTGGGTTTCCAAGGCGCCAAACGTGCGGTCAGGGCTGGGGATGAGGACGTGACAAAAGCGTACGTTCGAATTGAATCAACCACCATTCCCCTACCCTGCCCCTTTCACTCCTTAACCTTTCCCTCACCACTCTCACACCCTCAGGTGGCAAAGGTGTACGTGTCATTGCATGGAGACGAGAGGGGGCAGGCGATAGCTTGGAGGGGTTGAGGGCACACCCGTGAAAGCACACCCCAGAGTTCCCCACCTATCCCCTACCCTGCCCTTATCACTGCCTCTCCCCTCCTTCACCCGCAGGTGGCGAAGGTGTGCGTGTCAGTGTATGGGGACGAGAGGACAGGCAATACCGATGGAGGGGTTGAGCCGTCAGTGCGACATAAGCACCTCGTGCCGTCATAAGCACCCCTCATCACCCCCCTACTCTCAGGTGGCGAAGGTGTACGTGTCAGTGTATGGGGATGAGAGGGGGCAGGCAATAGCGATGGAGGGGCTGAGAGCCAAGGCGCCGTACGTGCGGTCAGGGCTGGGCAAGAAGATGCGGCTGCGGTTCGCTCCTGAAGTGCGGTTCATACAAGATGACTCGATGGAGCGAGGCAGCAGGGTGAGTTGCTGCACTACCCTGATTAACCAGGGTAGTTAGTCAGTTATAGGTGAGTTCGTGCGGTCAGGGCTGGGCAAGAAGATGCGGCTGCGGTTCGCTCCTGAAGTGCGGTTCATACAAGACGACTCAATGGAGCGAGGCAGCAGGGTGAGTACACTCACTACCCTGTTTTATAAGGGTAACTAGTCCATCATGAGTGTGTGCATGAGGTTGGGGCTGGGCAAGAAGATGCGGCTGCGGTTCGCCCCTGAAGTGAGGTTCATTCAGGATAGACTCCATGGAACGGGGCAGCAGGGTGAGTTCTAAAGCCATGCTTTTTAGAAGCTTTTGAATTTTGAGTCGACTCTCGCGGGGAAGCAGGGTGAGTTGTCACACCATGCTTGTTAAACGCTTGGCAGGGCAGGTCATGAACCAATTACAGGTGCTTGCAACAATTCAGGGCATGTACAAATCACTTTTGAGAACTCTCAGAAGTGGTTCCAACTCGAGAGTAGGGTGAGTTCTCTGTGAGGTTCAGACATGTCTCAGTGAGCTGCGTGCGTGCAGTAGGCTTAAAGCAAAGGAAAAACGGTAGGGCGCTGCCCAACTCGAGAGTGGGGCGAGTTCTCTGTGTTCTTGCCTCATACATTGCATCCCTTCACAACCCCTGAACCCCTATGTCTTGAACCCCTTAAACCCGAAACCCTGAAACCCGAAACCTTCAACCCGCACTCACTCTCCGGGAGATCCACTCGTCCGCTCCTTCCATTGACCCCTCAGAGCCACAGGGCTCTGAGAAAGCCCCCCCAGATTGTGTTGCCACTATAACTCTGTAGAAACCATAGGTGTGTGACTGGAACCGCAGATACCATTGCCCCTATCCAGTTTTGAGACGTCTCAATACCATTGCCCCTATCCTATCCTGCCCCCACACCTCCTTTTCTCTCCGTCCTCCTTTTCACTCGTGTTTCTTCTCCTCTCCCTCCCTCCCCCCCCCTCCCTCCCCTAATCTCCCGTCCTCTTTATCCCCCCCCCCCCCCCTTCCCTGCGCCTGCCACCTCACATGCTAAACCCTGTCCCCCTGCAGGTACTCTCCATTCTCTCACGTCTCAAAGCAGAGCAGCAGGCTCGGGAACGCGGCGAGCCTCTCCCGCCGAACCTGTCCCCCATAGCTTCGGGTGGTTATGATGACGAGGATGAGGAGGAAGAGGAGTTGGGGCAGGCTGTCAGAGCACAGAGAAAGCCAAAGAAGGGGCAGGTGGAGGGGGGGTTGGGGGGGAGAGGAGGTGGGCAGGGGAAGGGGCAGGGGAAGGGGCAGGGGAAGGGGCAGGGGAAGGGAGGGAAGAAGGGGGCGGGGAGGAGGTGGGAGGGAGACGATGGGGTGAGGCTTGAGGATTTTGGGGAGGATGAGAAGGTGTTTTTGGTTGAGTGAGTGTGATGGGTTGTGATTGTGCTGTGGGATGTGACTCTGAAAAAGGTCATAATGAATACAGGGATGTGCTGTCAAAATGCCAGGGAAGGAACGGTATACGTACTATGTACAATTGCAGAAATGTACATGCCAACATACGTTGAGAGATTATTCCGTTATGCTGTGGGTGAATATGGTGTCCAGAACTCTTGTACCGTAAGCCCCCGGATAGTAGCGCAGCGCCCCTGGGGGTATAAAAAAACACTGTTTTTTAGGGGGCGTGCTTATAATCGAGGATTTTTATAAACGCCGGCGCTTATATAATGACATTTAGGAAATGCCTATTTCTTACACCAAATTGTAGATCATATTCTTGCAATTTGAATCGAGTCGAAACTATACAGGGCTGGAATTGAGAATCTCGCGCCAGTTGGCATGGAATGATTCCCTGCCAACACAGACAGTCAGAATGAGTTAACTTACGCTCATTCTGACTGGACGCGCAGGCACTGAGCCGAGCGAGGTGAAGGGCTTCGAAATTCAATCATGTGGGAACGGAAAATGTGAGTTTCGTTACAACGATTTCAGTACAATTATAGCAAAACAAAACAGAGGGTGGCGCTTATAATCGTAAGCCTTCAGGGGTGGGCTTATAATCGAGGACCGGATATAAGCGCCGTCATCCTTTTATAAGCGCCGGCGCTTATCCGAGGCCTGCGCTTATATCCGGGGGCTTACGGTACTAAAGACAGGCTAACGTGAATAATCACCAGTCATCATTCAGCATCATCTAACTAGCGATCCACTGCATTATTATTACTGTACCATTAAAACTTCCTTTCAGGGTGGTTAGTTAGACCCCCTGTTTCAGCCGCCTATGCTACGCATCTAACCTTCCACTCGACCTAACACGGAATCACCTACTGAAAGGCCTCCTCAGCACTTGCTAACCGTCGGTAATTCAGCAAGAGAAGTGCTGCCACACCGAGCCTCTATCACCATCTCACTCAAGCACATTAACTCCTCCCCTGCCGCCATCCTGTTTCAATTGCACCACTGCCCACTCCCCATTGCTGCCTAACCTTTCTGATGCCTCAAGCACTACAACAAATATTATAAATTTTAAACACACATAGTGTTTTTCAAAATTGTGTATTGTGAAAGCGAAGCTGCTTGTATTGCACAATTGGCATCGTCGAAGCGCGCTAAACGCCCTTCTCCAACTACAAAAACCGTGGGTTGGAGCTCATTTCCTCCACCCACGTTTCTCTATTTTCAAACGGCTCACTCAACCTTCCCACCACCCACCCCAGCGTAAACCATTTTGCGCATGCCACTTGGATAGGGTATATCGTAGCTAGTGATATGAGCATGCACTAGCTTGTGTTCAATTGTGATGCTAATGTTGTAAACAGCCATTTGTAATGAGAACGATGCCAATTGATAAGAATAAGAAAGCAAGCTTTCTCAATCTAAGAATTGCAACCTTAAAGCCCGCAGCTAAAATAGTGACCCCCCCCCTTCTAGTTGGGTCCACTTGAAGTCTTAACGTTTTGGAAAGTTGTAAGTGTTCTGTTTTTTCCTTTTCAAACGCGTTTGATACTGATCGGGTCTTCACAGATTTCGTCAAACAAAAATAATCGCAAGAATGTGCAATTCACGCACATGTGCAATGTGTCACAAGTTTGCGATGTGCAAGTCCCATTCACATTCGAGTGCCAATTTCACAGATTGTGGCATGTGCAATTGACACACAGCAAACGCCATAGACAAGAACCTGCTATGGCGGCAAAAACAGCATAGGAAAAACAAAGGGAGGGAAAAAACAGAGAGTTTCAAGGTGACGAGAGAAGAAAGAGATAGGGCGACTGGAGGGCGTTTCAGAGATGGGTGATGGGGGGGAGAAACGAAAGGCGACGGGCTGGCATTTCGCGGCGAGCACGAGGGCGACGAGGTGGGTGATGGGAAGGGAGAGAGGAAGGGCGCGGAGAGGGCGTTTGAGAGCGAGCGCGAAGGCGACGAGGTGGGTGAGACGAGAAATTGGGTGGGGGACAAGAGGGCGTTTCGGTAAGGGAGGGACAAAAATCACGCACAAAAAAACAACAGACTACGAAATGGGAGGGGAGAACGAGTGGGAGGAGACGGGACGATTTGGGGGGCGACAGGGCTACGACGTGGGTGATGCGAAGGGAGAGAGGAAGGGCGATTTGAGGCGAGGGGGACGGCGACGAGGAGGGTGATGTGAGGGGAGAGAGAACGGGTGACGCGATGGTGACGGACGATGCGAGGGAAGAGTGTGAGGGTGATAAGAGGGGTGATACGAACTGAGAGAAAAAGGGTGATGGGGAGAGAGAGGGCAACGAGGTAGGTAATGGGAAGGCGGCGATGAGGGTGCTGCGAGGAGCGACGAAAAAAGCGAGGGCATATGTGACGGGGAGAGTGATGCTGCGAGGGAAAAGAGAGAGGGGCCGACGATCACGGAGCGACGGGCAGGCATTTCGGGGCGAGCGCGAAGGCGCCGAGGTGGGTGATGGGGCGGGAGAGATGAAGGGCGACGGAAGAGAGGAAGAGCGACGGGAGGGGAGGGGCGACGGGAGAGAAGACGGGTGACGGGAGAGAGGATAGGAGACGGGAGAAAGAAAGGGCGACGGGAGAGAGGAAGGGCGACAGGAGGGAGGAAGGGCGACGGGAGAGAGAATAGTTTTTGAGGCACCTCAAAAATCGTCTCAGTTCACGCGGTTTTTATATGGGGAATATTTACATTGCATGGAGGTGTGCACGTAACTTGCAAAAGTTACTCGTGCGAGCAAAGGTTCCAAGGCTTAACAATAGCCCTGACAAAGACACCACGAAAGGCTGACATTTGTAACCTTGGGTTTTTACCCAGTGCTGTGAGTGCTGTGTTGGCGAATGCCCATTGTTAGGCAATCTGGGTAGATGGGAACCTTGAAATCTGTTCGCGGTGTAGGTTGATTACTTAGCCTATGCCTAGCCGTGGGATCTCTTGGGATCTCTTTGTGTTCAGAAGCACTGATGAAGGCTTGACGGGTTCTCCCGCCTTGCCGAAACATGTTTGCGACCTGTTCTGATTGAGTGAAATCGGTTCTTGCGATCGGATTTCTCTCAGCTAGGGAATTTTTTACTCTTTTTTCTTACTTTCTAAAACGTTTCACTAGCACTGCTGCCCTTCCACCATGAGTGACAACGACGGGAGAGAGGAAGGGCGACGGGAGGGAGGAAGGGCGACGGGAGAGGGAATAGGCGACGGGAGAGGGAATAGGCGACGGGAGAGAGAATAGGCGACGGGAGAGAGAATAGGCGACGGGAGAGATGAAGGGCGACGGGAGAGTAGGAAGGGCGACGGGAGAGTAGGAAGGGCGACGGGAGAGGAAGGTGACGGGAGAGTAGGAAGGGCGACGGGAGAGTAGGAAGGGCGACGGGCGAGAAAGGCGACGGGAGAGTTGGAAGGGCGACGGGAGAGTAGGAAGGGCGACGGGAGAGAAAGGCGACGGGAGAGAAGGGCGACGGGAGAGAAGGGCGACGGGAGAGAAGGGCGACGGGAGAGAAGGAAGGGCGGCGGGAGAGGAAACGACGGGAGAGGAAGGGCAACGGGAGAGGAAAGGCGACGGGAGAGGAAAGGCGAAGGGAGAGGAAAGGCGACGGGAGAGGAAGGGCAACGGGAGAGGAAAGGCGACGGGAGAGGAAAGCTACGGAGGAAGGGCAACGGGAGAGGAAAGGCGACCGGAGAGGAAAGGCGACCGGAGAGGAAAGACGATGGGAGGGGAGGGGCGACGGGAGAGAAGACGGGTGACGGAAGAGAAAGGCGTGCGGGATGGGAGGGGAGAGATAGCGAGGCGACGCGAACTGAGGGGAGGGCTGCGACGGGAGATAGCGAGGGCGATGTCGATGGAGGCGACAATTCGGGCGACGGGCCTCGTCAGGATCGCGACTCGACGGGCGACGGGACGGCGTCGGGACGGACAGCGCGAGGACGGTCTTCACGGGAGGACGACTGAGACGGGATAGGAAGGCGGCGAGAGGGCGATCTAAACGACACAATTACTGCGCAATCATGCCATATAATCACTACGCGTCTAAGTTGCGGTAACAATAGCCTACGGTAAGTTGAGGGCTACATGGCTAGACAAGCAAGTGATAACTAAGAAGCACAAAAAAATGAAACGGGAGAACTAGTAGTACTTCACCCATGCCCAACTTGAACCCCAAGCTGGGCAAAAAAATCGCAGGGACGTGACAAAACAATCGCAGTACTTCTGCTCTGCGGCTCCCCAAACAGAGATGCGACGCCTGACGTGCTGTGTTCCTTATTTCGGTTTTAGTGGGAACCAATCAGATTTATTCGATCTGTTAGAAACAGTGCAAACTTGTCGGTTTGGTTTTGAAAATTGTTTCGCTCAACAAGCTCTCTTTCAAGCTGGAGACGGGTTCACTATTTTGCATTTCGGTTACTATTGTGGATGGGGATTGTGTAAGCTCTCTTTCACTAGACAGTTCACTATTGTGCTACCTAACACATCCTCACCACCTGTCTTTGATCAATCCCTGCCTGTGTATGCCCTTGCTCCTCCACGCCTCCTTGCCTCTCCCCTTCTCCTTGCCCCCTGTCACCCCCACTCGTTCCCTCTCCCTCCTCGCCTCATCTTCACTTCCCCTCACTCCTGCTGCACGCCCTCTCCCCCCTTCGTCTTCCTCCCTCCCCTCCTCCCCCCCCTCCCCCTCCTCCCCCTCCTCAGCCTCCTCTTCCTCCTCTCCGCCCCTTCTCTCCTTCTCTCGGCCCGTTCTCTTATCACCCTCACTCTCCTCCCCAGCTGCACTCCCTACAGGCACCCGCCCAGCCCCATCCACTCTCTCACTCTCCCTCCCCCACCTGTCTACCCCCACCCACTTCCTCTCTCCCTCATTCTCCCCTTTCCGCACTCCTCTAGTCTCTCCTCTCCCCACGCCTCTCCCCACTCTTCTTTCCCCTCCACTCTCCACTCCTCTCTCCCCTCCCCTTCTCCCCGCTTCCACAGCCATGGCATTAGAGTTGCCTCTACCACCACTCCCCACTGCTTGCCCATTCGCCCGTTTCCAAACCCCCGGCACAACCCTCCTGTTCCGACCCTCCTCCCTTTCCCACTCCTCTTCCTCCTCCTCCTCTTCCTCTTCCTCCTCATCTTCCAATCCCCATTCCTCCCCATCCTCACTCTCCCACTCACTCTCCTCATCACTCCCTCCCCTCCCATTCCCTTCCCTCTCCCCCCTCTCCACTTCTCCCCTCCTCATCCTCCTCCTTCCATCCTCCATAAGAACTCTCATCTCCTCTATAGCATCCGCCAGCTCATCACTCATTATAAGCACCTCCCCTTCATAAGCCTCTCGCAGAAACACCGAATCCCGCACCCCTTTCACCGAAACATAAAACACCTCCGGATGCCGCAGCAGCAGCGCATATATCCTCGCGGGCAGAAGAAAATCTTTCCGAAAATGCGTCAGCTGGTCGATCAGGCACCGCTTTTCCACGGTCAGCGAAAGAAACTCCCGAATCACGGCAACTGCCCGTCTCTCCGCCTCCATTGATTCAGGAGAGATCCCAAGCTCGAGTGGGTTTGCATATGGGGAAATGGGAGGGGAGGCGTGGAACCTCTGTAGCCGGAGCAGGTCAGACTGCTTCAGCTTCAGACCTGGTGGTAGGTTGAGTTTCAAGCTCAGCCGAACGGCCTTCTTGTACCGCTCCTCCCTACTGCTGCTGCTGCTGCTCCCAGCAGTACCGGCACCACTGGCAACACCACTGCTAGTCCTCTCCTGGTCTGCACTGGTTTTCCCAGTGATGTAGGCCATGCGGCTGATCTCTGCCTTGTGCCGGCCCAACCCGATCGCTGCCTCTGCCAGCTGCTCAGGCGTCAGAGAGGGCTTGGGGGGAGGGAGCTGGGTGCCTGGAGAGACTGGTGGGATTTGAGCAGCTTGGGTGGCTAGGGTTTGCTGGGGGGTATCTGATGGCGCCGGGTCACAGGCCAAAACAGGACCAAGATGAGGCTTTCTGAATGATGCCGTTCCTTGTGTTTCTTCTGTCCCTTGCTCCTCTTGCTCCTCCTCTTCCCATTGCTCCTCATCCCATCGCTCTCCTCCTCCCCCTTGGTTCCAGTTTGCCTGTTTCCCCGCCTGTGACTTGTGATTGCTCTCCTTGCGCTCGTTCTGCTTGTGTTGCCCTTCTCCTCCCCCTCCCCCTCCTCCTTCCCCTCCTTCCCCTCCTTCTCCCCCTCCTTCTCCCCATCCCTCTTCCCATCCCTCGTCCCACGCCTCTCCCCATCCCGCCCCCTTCCCCTCATGCCCGCCCCCCTCACCTTTACTGCTACCCACGCCAGACATCTCGAAACCCTCCCTACCCTCTTTCCCCTCTCCCTCCGTCTCCTTCTCCTCCCCCTTCTCTTCCTCCTCCTCCTCTTTTACTTTCTTGGCCTCTCCCTCCTCCTCACCCTTCTCCTTCTCTTCCTTCTCTTCTTCCTTCTCCTCCTCCCACTCCCCCTCTTCCTCCTCCTCCTCCTCCTCCTCCTTCTCCTCCTCCTTCCTCCTCTCCTCCCCACTCTCCCCCTCCCCCTCGTTATCCCCATCCCCCAACACCCCTCCCACCCCTTCTCTCCTCATCATCCCTCCCTGCGCCCTCCCTCCAGCTGCTGCTGCTGCACCACCAGCACCATCACCCCCCCAACCACCCGCAGCAGATTCACCACTCCCCCCACTCCCCCCACCACCATTATCAGCAGCAGAACCACCACTAGCACCAGTACCATCAACGAAGCTAGCACCACCAGCAGCACCACCACCAGCACTACCAGCAGCACCACTTGCAGCAGCAGCAGCAGCAGAAGCAGACGCATAGGGAGTGCATTTCATACTAGCAGGACGTGAGGAAGCACCAGTACCAGCAACACTGCCACCCCTAATACCATTTTCTATCCCTCCACTTGCCACAGCCTCACCACCCTCTCCCCGAGCCTCTTTCTGAGCCTCTTTCCGAGCCGCTTCCCAAGCCTCTTCCCGAGCCTCTTCCTGAGCCTCCGCTGCTGCTTCGTTCGCCTCTGCCACGGACAGTGCCAGGCGATCGTCCCACTGCTGCAGCACCAGCACCGGCCCCCCAGCAGCAGCAGGGGTACCCGGAGGGGATGCTGGAGGGGTGGCTACTCTGAAGCGATCGGAGAAGCGCGGCAGGAAGGACTGGCAGTGGAGCAAGGGAGAGCGCAGAGCGAAGAGAGGAGAGAGAAGAAGAGAGAGGTGACAGAGGGGAAAAAAAAGAGGGGCTTGAGTTGGACAAATAAAGCCTCTGCCACAGACAGCACCAGGCGATCGTCCCACTTCTACAGTAGCAGCACCACCTGGGCAGCTCTGAAACTTTTTGAAATGCCCAAAAAGCTGCAGTCAACAGCACAGAGGCCAGCAGGTGCAAATGGGCTACTATGAACGACCTACAGGGTGATTTTGAGAATTCGCTAGAATACCCTGCAAATGCGACTCTGAGCTGGAAAAGAGCTACTCTGACAGATGCATTTCAACACACAATTGCCACACATGCTTGACTGACACTGCTGCACAGCCAAGTTTTGAGGCGCCTCAAAAATCCTCTGAGCTGGAAATGAGCTACTCTCTGACAGATGCATTGCATTTCAACACACAACTGCCACACATGCTTGACTGAGACTACAGAGCCAAGCCTGTCACCCATGCTCACCGTTTTGAAGTCCTCTAGAAGGCCCAGCTCCCTCCGCACATGGCCAACGCTCTCCACACTCAGAGACTGCTGGTTGTGTCACTGACACACCACCGTTTTCGCTGCCAGACGCAACAATGACCTAGCTTGTAGCACAAATATCGCTCACCGTTTCACTCATGGTTGGAAGAGCAGCAGCACTAGAGAATAGCTCGAGCAAGAAAAAGAGTAAAAACAATCCCTAGCTAAGAGAACTCTGGTCGCAAACATGTTTCGGCAAGGCGGGAGAACCCGTCAAGCCTTCATCAGTGCTTCTGAAGAGCGCTCACCGTTTTGAAGTCCTCTGGAAGGCCCAGTTCTCTGCGCACGTGCCCAACGCTTTCCACACTCAGGGACTGCGTTGCTGACATCATCAGCAGCTTGCACAGCTGCAGTAGATGATGGGAGGCAATGCGAAGGTGGGGAGGGGAAGAAGGATAGGGGGCTGGTTGTGGGGGGGAAAGGGGTGCACGCACAGCAGTGCTCGACACTCGAGAACGGCGTTGCTGACATCATTAGAACCTTGCTCAGCTGCAGCAGTTGGGAAAATATGTTGCCCGCACAGCACCCCTGTCGTGCAATGCACACACCCAGCTGCACTGCATCACATACACCTCATCTCATTTCATCTCACCGCACTGCACCTCACCTTATCCACTAAGATGGGTTCCATGATGGCTCGCAGCTCCCTCTCCCTCGCATCCCTCCTTGCCGCCTCCGGGGTCAACTCGGACCATATGTTGCCCGCACCCCTGTTGTACCATGCACACACCCCATTGCACCGCACCATATACCAAATCTCATAGCGGCTCACTGCATTGCACCGCACTGCATCTCATCGCATCCCACCACACCGTATCTCACCGCATTCCACCCTGCGTCGCACCTTATCCACTAAGATGGGTTCCATGATGGCTCGCAGCTCCCTCAAACGGTCCTTCGTATTGATTAAGGCAGGGTACAGACATGCAGATGTAGTCAATTCGAACCAGTTGTTGACTGCTCCCCTGTCGTTGCATGCACACACAGCACTGCACCGCACCACACCTCGCCGCTTCTCATCGTACTGCACCGCACTGCATCTCACCTTATCCACTAAGATGGGTTCCATGATGGCTCGCAGCTCCCTCTCCCTCGCATCCCTCCTCGCCGCCTCCGGGGTCAACTCGAACCATATGTTGCCCGCACCCTTATCGTACACTTGGAATATTGATGGAAACCTGATGGGTGTGGAGGGTTGGGGAAGGAGTCGGCAGTAGGGTAGGGCCAGGCGGAATGGACACATTCCATTGGAAAGGGGACGACGTGCTGAGCATGCACGCAGTCAGCTCAAACCAGGTGTTGCTCGCACCCTTGTCATACACTCGGAATATTGAGGGGAATCTGATGGGCGTGGGGGCAGAGGGTGGGGATGTGTGCGGGAAGGGAGGGGGTGGGAAGAGGAGTGCATTCATTCCCACCCCGCAAGTTCAAACGAAATGTTGCCCGCACTGCTGTCATACACTTGGGATATTGAGGGGAATTTGTTGCTGTAATGGTGGTGGTGCTGCACCCACCCACACACTCAATCACACTCACTCACTCCCACTCACTCAAAAACACTCACTCACACAGTCACACTCACCTGCGAATGAGAGCCACACATCTTCGCCCTCCAGACAGCCCAATCTTGTTCAGATGCTTCCCCAGCTCCTTGAGTTGTGCGGCTGTGTTGAGAGAGTTCAAGGAGCATACACACCTACCACCCAATCCCACACTCACTCCCTCTCTCCCACTTCCACTCACCTGCGAATGAGAGCCACGCATCTCCGTCCCCCAGACAGCCCAATCTTGTTCCGATGCTTCCCCAGCTCCTTGAGACTCATACGCCCGCCCTCCTGCCATGTGGACAATTTGCGAGTCAGCTACAAAAGAAGAAACAAGATGCATTTCTGGTTTGACGGTTGAGTCGACTCAAAAGCCACCTTCGTACAAGCTACCAGCACAAGCCTGTCAAAAAACGCTTTGCTGCTTCCTCCTTCACCGGTGTCGGATGTTTTTTACATGGCCACCACATGTGGACAGTGGAACCGCCATTTACCAGCGTTGACTGGCGTTGACTCACCTGCTTCCCCAGCAGCTCCTGAATGCGCTGCATGATGCGAAACTTCTTATTTCTCTCAATCACCGCATCCAGCCTCAGCTTCCTGATTAACATTGACTACTCTTGACCACCATTGACTACCATTGACTGGCGTGGACTTCCTCTCTCGCACCTCTCCTGCTTCCCCAGCAGCTCCTGAATGCGCTGCACGATGCGGGACTTCTTGTTCCTCTCTATCACTGCGTCCAGCCTCGGATCCTCCTATTGACGAGCAGCTACAGCCATTGACAGGCGTTGACCACATTTGACCACCGTTGACCAGCGTTGACTGGCGCTGACTCACCTGTTTCCCCAGCAGCTCCTGAATGCGCTGCACGATTCGGAACTTCTTGTTCCTCTCAATCACCGCATCCAGCCGTGGCTCCTTCCGCCGCTTCACCTTGCACTCCACCACCCGCCGCTGCCGGGGCTGGTGAAAAAGAAAAGGGGGGGGGGGGAAGTGGTTGTGGGGGAGGAGGGGAAGGATATGGTGTGTTAGCCAACGCACAAGGCTCCCTCCGCCGCTTCACCTTGCACTCCAACACACGCCGCTGCTGGGGCTGATGGATAAACAAGCGAGGTGCGGTCGGTGGGAGGGAGGGCAGGGGTGGGAGAGGTAGGGGTTTAGGCGAGGGGAGAGGGTGCATTAGCCATCAGGTCATGTCTTAAGCGACTTCGATGGTTCGCGCTTCCCCTTCAGCTTGCAATCAAGCACACGTTGCTTCAAAGGTTTGAGGGTCAGGGGTGTGGGTTCAGGGTTCAGGGTATAAGATTTTTTCCTGTCCAAGGATTCATATGGAATTTCTTGCAGGGCAAGATGGAGATAGGTGCCGTTCCATCGCCCAAACAAACTGCTACCTGCCTCGAACCATGATAACAACCATGTCCCTTTGTTCCAAGGCAGAAGAAGATTTCGAAGAGTTTCCAACACCAAACTAAAACATTTGTGCTCGTTTCCCACAAACGAATCTTCTCTCCGCAACCCGCGCGCCCTTGCTTGCTCGTCTCCGCAAGAAGAAAGCGGAAAATGCGACGATTTCGGAGGGGCATGCAAGGGCAATATAGATCGGTTTCTGAAACATGAGAATAGTCACGAACGTTGGGCTTGGACTCGAGCGTTGGGCCACGACTCGGTGTCGTTCCCGTTTTGACGGTGTGTCCCTTCCTACCTCTTTTCGCACGCCTCCTCGTGGGGGGCGTTGATACGTCAGCGCGTCGCTCGACGAGTCGCCACGCAGCAGACTGGACGATCCGAACGACATGCTTCTCGCCGACGATCCGAACGACATGCTTCTCGCCGACGAACCGAACGAAGCGCCTGTTGCTGATGATCGAAGCGACATGCGACGAGTCGCACTACTCGTGGCACAGCGCGTCGCCGAGAATGGGCGGGCTACGATATGTCGTGACGCGTGGAACCCGCGCCGCGGAGCCTGATGCCAGCATGCTACCATAGCGGTTTTATCGCCGCCTTTACCGACGGCGTTTCCCCCGCCGACGATCAAACTTGCGTGCTCAGACGACCGAATCTCCATTCGCCCATTTCCAGATAATGTATTTGCTACTGGCCCGATCGCGCCTCCAGCATGACTCGCACCGCCGTGACTGGCGCACGGGAAAGATACGCGAGCCATCGACATAGTAGTTAATCTCCTCGCGCCTCGATCTCCCCAGATCCGCGCGCTTGGCGACTTGCTGTGGCACTTGCCGCTGCAGTTAACTACTCCGCCGCCTATTGTGTAGAGACTATTGGAGCGAGTAGGCGCAGCCGCTCCGCGGATCGCGGCTGTAGTGCGGAGCGGCCATCCGGCAGAAATTCCCCCTCCGCCGGTGATCGCGCGTGGAAGTGCAGCTGGTTGAAAGGCGCACGGACAGGCGGGCATGACGGGGGGAACAGCGCACGGGCAAGGGGGAAGGATGGCGGCTGCCGGTGCCCGCCAGGCTGCGCGCCAAGTGGACGCGGGGAGAGCGGCGCGTGCAGTTGCTAAGCAGACGGAGCAGCGGAGGAGGCGGGAGAACGCGGAAGAACGAGCGGAAAACATTCAAGGAGACGGGATAAAGTTCACTTGGTCAAATAGATATACACGGGGCGACTCACGCCTGGATGTTTTCTAGGGATTAACTAATGTAATAGACTGACTAATCAGGGCGCATGCGTATACATGTTCACGTAGTTCTAGGATCCCGATTAGACGTGTAGGATAACTCGAGGTGTCCACAAAGAAGGGTACATGCTTCGGTAGCCTCCAAGTCCTAGTATCTCCCAGGTTCAGAAATTATATCTCAGGTTCGACAAACTGAGAGAGCCTAGAATCTCGGGTTTCCATCTGAGCGTTGTTTTACTTGAAATGGACGAGTCTCCATGGCTTAGATACTGCCGCCGAGATGGCTCCGTGCCCGAGGCAGAAGGAGAGCCTTGATCTTCCCAGAAGTGGGATTGAGGACATTCTTTGGCAGCAAGCTGTATTCGTAATCCATTCTTCGAGACATTCTATTTTTCTGATTTGCAGGCGGGACTGGGTCTCAGATCTTCAAAGCGTTTAAAGCGACGGTGCACATTTGCCACCCAAAACCCAGAACCCTGGCGAACTATTACTGCGGATGGAAAGTGTCCGCACGAAATCCTGGTTTTCGCCAGCCAGCACTTTCGCGCTGGCAAGCCTGGTTCAAAAAAAAAACTTCTGAACCCAACACTGCCAAAAGTTGCCCGTCGCTTTAAGGTACGTCACGAGACTCTGTCGTCGCACAAAAGATGTCGTTATTAGGGACCCAAATTTGACACCACATCTCCCATGCGAGACCTCCCATCGAGTTGGATGCGAAAAAGAACAGGCCTCGGCGACGTACTGGGCAAAATCCGCCGAACCTAGACATTCACGGTTTTACCTCTCGACAAAGGAGCCGCGCCAGGTACCCAAACCTCCCCAACAACCTCAACTAGCCGTTGAATCAAACTCGCGCCTTCTACAGTTGATTGATCCTTGAAAAGCGTACAAAGCACAATGGTACCGTTTCGACCTATAACAAAACTTTCATTATTGAAGTAGAAACTCATACCACTTTAGTTGATAAACATATAATATTGGCAGTTTGTTACCCATATAATGTCCCAAGACATCAGCAACTCAAACACAACATATCGACCTGCTTCTAGCTAAAATTCTAAAGCCCATGACCTAGTAACTCCAGCCCCCTGTCAAGAAACAGGATTAAAAGCCAAGATCCGCCAAATTATCTGTTGGGACCGCAAGGCCATCAAGACCCCCCAGATCTTCCCCCATTAGCAGCTCATCATTCGGCAATCCCGCAAGCCATCCACCGAAGTCATCCCCCTGCACCCCCAGCTCCGGCATCGCCGAACCAAAGACCGAGCCTGCCGCCAGGTTATCCAGCTCCACCACCTGCTCCAGCTCCGGCTGCGGCGTTGTAGGCATGGCATTCCGGTTCGGGTCCAAGTCCGGGAACTCATCCGCCGAGGCTTTTCTCTTGCCCGACTTTCCCGGACCAACTCCCGAACCTCTCGACCGTTTCCCAAGCGGAATACCATGGTTGAGGCTCGACCCAGGCGCGAAAAAATCCCCCGGAGAAGACCCAAGAGGCTTCGAATCAAAGTCTCCTGCTCCTTCCCACCCAACAGCAGCAGCAGCAGCAGCAGACGGATCAAGTACCCCTGAATCGTGACCTGGGGGGGTAGCCACAGGAGGGGTCCCTGCCTGGCCCCCTGCCCCTCTCTGCCCTCCCCCAACCCGGTGCTGCCGCCACCGCCCCTTCTTCCTCTCCCCTCCCGCTCCCCCTCCGCCTCCCTCCCCTCCCCCTGCAAGGCTCGACCGGGCACCAGTGGGGGTGGCCCCTGCTGATACCCCCTCGCCTGTGCGTCGGGCAGGGGAACCCCCTTTGGTGAAATCCAGGTTGTCACGATCTGTTCTTTTCCGCTTGATGTTCCCCGGGAGTAAAGGCACCGGGCCCCCACTAACCCCTCCCCCTGCTGTTCCTGCCCCGTAAAATCCTCCTCTAGACGCCCCTCCTGCTGCTGCTGACGCGCCTGCTGCAGCCCTAGCACCACCAGCAGCGGCAGCACCAACAGCATCATTAGGAATACCACCACCAGCACCAAATACATCCTCCAGTCGAGCAGTTCTCTCCTTGTGTCTGAACGACCCCTCCAAAGCCTCCCCGCCCGCTCCTGCCATTGCTCCCATGCGCTCCCCCCTGCTCTCGCTTCGCCGCAGGTTTGTGCGTGAGTGTGGCTCTGGTGGGGATACACGGGGAGGGGGAAGGGGGGATATTGAGAAAGGGGGGAAATACCAGCACCACCAGCACCAGCACCAGCACCGAACACGTCTTCCAGACGAGCCGTTTTCTCCTTGTGTCTGTACGATCCTTACAAAGCCTCCCCGCCTGCGCCTGCCATTGCCCCCATGCGCTCCCCCCTGCTCTCGCTTCGCCGCAAATTTGTTCGGGAATGCGGTTCTGGGGGGAGTTAAGTGGGGAGGGAAAGGGGAGGAGAGTGAGAGAGGGGGATTTGCAGCAAACCCTGTGAGAAAGTGCGATTAGAGGGAGGGGAATCAATGGAGAGAGAAAAGGGAGAGTGAGAGAGGGGGAGCACGCAGGGGACTGGAAGAGGAGGAGAGGAGAGTGAGAGAGGAAAAGGGATGGCTTGGGGAGGGGGCCTGTCTGCATCTGCCTCTCACAGCGATGTGTGAATCGACTCAAGAATCACCAGAAATTGATCAGCCACCTGAAATGAGGGAGTTTTTGAGACATCTTAAAAGCTCCTCCACTTCACGTGGCTTAGCTTGGGGATGGGGCCTGTCTGCATCGCCCTCTCACAGTGATATGTGTATGACTCAAAAATCACCTCATTTCAAAAGCCACCTTAAGTCAAAAGTCACCGTAACTCAAAAGTCACCTCAACTCAGAAGCCAACTCGAATCACAGATCACGTCCTTTCAGTCAATCCAAAGTCACTCTGCCATGCACCTTCTCAGAGGTTGTCACGAGGGGAACAAGCAATGAGCATCGACGCCACCAGACCGGACTATCCGCCTCTGCCTCTCCAGGTAACTTGTGAGTCAACTCACAACGCACCTCAACCCAAAATTAACAACACACCTTCCCTGAGGCTGTCACATGGTGACCCAGCAATTGGCATCGACGCAGCCAGGCTGTCCGTCCGCCTCTGCCTCTTTAAGTGACTCGTGTGAGTTTACTCAAGAAAGTTGCTGCAACTCACAACTCAGCTAGAGCCTAAAACAGCCACGCACCTTCCCTGAAGCTGTGACCGGGCGACCCAGCAATGAGCATCGACGCCACCAGACTATCCGCCTCTGCCTCTTGCAATGAATTTTAAGTTAGCCTCTACTCACGACTCACCTCACCTATAAGGCTACTAAGCCACACACCTTCCCTGAAGCTGTCACACGGAGACCCAGCAATGAGCATCGGCGCCACCAGGCTGACCGCCTCTGCCTCTCCTGGTGCCTTGTCAGCCAACTCAACAGTCACCTCAACTCAAGAATCACCTCATCTCACAAGATACCTCGAGCCCCAAGGGTAGGGTAGCCGCGCACCTTCTTTGAAGCTGTCACACGGAGACCCAGCAATGAGCATCGACGCCACCAGGCTGACCGCCTCTGCCTCTCCTGGTGCCTTGTCAGCCAACTCAACAGTCACCTCAACTCAAGAATCACCTCATCTCACAAGTTACCTCGAGCCCCAAGGGTAGCCGCGCACCTTCTTTCAAGCTGTCACACGGAGACCCAGCAATGAGCATCGACGCCACCAGACTATCCGCCTCTGCCTCTCGCACGCCTCCCCCTGCCCCTCCTGCACCACCCTGTTCACCACCACCAGCCCCTCGCAGGGGACTCAGCCCAGCGATTTCCAGTGCTGGCGATTCCCCTCCCATTGCGGTGTCATCAGCACCAGCAGCAGCGGCAGCAGCAGCTGCTGCAGTGGTGGTGGCGGTGGGAGCGAAGGAGAGAGGGATGGGAGGGCGGGGTGGGGACGGGGGGAAGAGTGCGAGTCTCTGGCGGTTGAACAGGGAGAGGAGGCCAGGGGCAGGGGCGCCTGCACCAGATAAACCTGCCCCAGAACCGTCCAAACCACCTGCACCACCAGCAGCAGCAGCAGGGGCACTTGCTGTCCCCCCTGGTGTTGTCACCACCCCAGAACTCCTCCCCACTCCTCCCAACCCAGGAGTACCCACACCGCCAGGCCCGGGCGTCCACGGCAGCGGGCTAGGCTCGGCGAGCAGGCTCGGCGAGGGCTGCAGGTCCGGGTGCACGCGCTGCAGGTGCGGCAGCAGCGTGCCGGAGTGCCATTGGTCGGCACGCTGCAGGGCGCGGCGCACAAAGTGGACGGCGGACTGGCGGGCGAGCTTGAGGGAGGAGCCCGCCCCCTTGGTGATTGTCCCTGCTGCTCCCGCCATCTTGAAACCCTGGAGAGCAGGGGGGTTGTGGGGTTTGAGGGGGGCGAGCAGGAGTGGTTTAACAAAGTGGACTGCAGACTGGCGGGCGAGCTTGAGGGAGGACCCAGCGCCTTTGGTGATCGTGCCCGCTGCCCCTGCCATCTTGAGACCCTGGTGTGAAGAGAAAGTGGGGAATGGGAGGTTTGTTCATTGAGGGACGAGCCAAAGTGGTTTAAACAGAGTCCTCTCTCTCTTGTCCTGCCTGCCACTCCCCGGCGCGCTGCAGGGCTCGGCGCACAAAGTGGACGGAGGACTGGCGTGCGAGCTTGAGAGAGGACCCAGCGCCCTTGGTGATCGTGCCCGCTGCTCCCGCCATCTTGAGACCCTGAAAGGGAGAGGAGGGGAGGAGAGCAGGCGACGGAGGAGGAGTATGAGAAAAAGAGTATGAGAGAAAGAGCATGAGAGAAAGAGCATGAGAGAAAGAGCATGAGAGAAAGAGCATGAGAGAAAGAGCATGAGAGAAAGAGCATGAGAGAAAGAGCATGAGAGAAAGAGCATGAGAGAAAGAGCACGAGGGGTGGGGAGGGGGGAGGAAAGGGCATCATTTGACCCACGAGCCTGCCCCTTGGTGAGCGTGCCTTCCCCCCCGCCGTCTTCAAGCCCTGGGGAGGAGAGGGGGGGGAGGATGGAGGAGAGCAGGCAGTGGAAGGGAAGGGAATCGATGTAACTAGAAACATGAGGGACGAGGTCCCCGCATCGGTGATTATGCCTGCTGCCCCTGCATCTTCAGCCTCTGGGAAGGAGAGGAGGGGAGGAGGAAGGAGATCAGGCATAGGAAAGAGAGAAGGTAAGGTTAAAGCCAGAGGCTGCAAGAGGCAGCAGAAAGAGCGAATGGGTATGGACAAGAGGAGTCTAATGGGGGGGAAGGAGGGTGGCGGACGGTGGTGTGGTTGGGGTGGGGTGGGGTGTGATGGGGTGTGGTGGGGTGTGGTGGGGAGTGGTGGGGTGTGGTGTGGTGTGGTGGGGTGTGGTGGGGTGGGGTGGGGTGGGGTGTGGTGTGGTGGGGTGAGGTGTGGTGTGGTGTGCGTACCGTTCGTCTGGCATATGCCATTTCCAAGAGCCGATCCACCACCAGCTTCTCACAGCTCCTGAGAGCACAGCACCACACAGCACCGCACAGCACAGCACAGCACAGCACAGCACAGCACAGCACAGCACAGAGACGAATCGATTGGGTGGCAAGGCGAATCAGGCAAGAGGAATGAGCAGCGGTTAAACCAGGAGGTTGCGACTATTTTCCATCACTTAACAATCAGCCAATAAGGTGAATAATTCTACAGCTGTTTCCACCCACAGCTGTTTCCACCCACAGCAGACCCTTTCCTCCCTTCACCCTTTGCCCACCTTTCCTCCCTTCACCCTTTGCCCACCTTTCCTCCTCCAGTCGTCTTGATGCCACCACCTCTTCTAAATACGCTGCCTTGTGCTGGTTGTGCTGCGCCTGGGGGCAGAGAGAAGGCGAGAGAAGGAGAGAGAAGGAGAGGGAAGGAGAGAGGAGAGAGAAGGAGAGGGAAGGAGAGAGGAGGAGAGGGAAGGAGAGGGAAGGAGAGGGAAGGAGAGGGAAGGAGAGGGAAGGAGAGGGAAGGAGAGGGAAGGAGAGGAAAGGAGAGGGAAGGAGAGGGAAAGAGAGGGAAGGAGAGGGAAGGAGAGGGAAGGAGAGGGAAGGAGAGGGAAGGAGAGGGAAGGAGAGGGAAGGAGAGGGAAGGAGAGGGAAGGAGAGGGAAGGAGAGGGAAGGAGAGGGAAGGAGAGGGAAGGAGAGCGAAGGAGATGTAAGAAGAAGCAGGACTCGTTCCTGCAGGGAATGTGAGAGGAAGGCGTAGAAAGTTCTGCATCCAGCTCGCCTTGATTCACCCTGACACACCTTCACACACCTTGACTCGCCTTCATTCGCTCTCACCTTGGCCTGCAGTCGCCTGTGGGACATGCGACGGCTGGCGCTGATCTCATCGTATCGCCTTGACTAACATAGACCCGTCTTGACTCGCCTTGACTCATCTTGACCCTCTCTCACCGCGGAACCCAAGTCGCTCTCACCCTCACCTTAACTTGCAGCCGCCTGTGGGACATGCGAAGGCTGGCGCTGATCTCATCATCCTGCCGCTGCGACTCCTGCAGCTGGTAGTGGGGAGGGGAGGTGTGGGAGGTTGGGTATGGGATGGGGGAAGAAGGAAGGGGATCGGGACGGGGACATGCGAAGGCTGGCGCTGATCTCATCCGCTGCGACTCCTGCAGCTGTGGGAGGAAAAGGGTAAGGAGAAGGCCGGGATCTGAAGGGAAGAGGAAGGGGGGGGAAGGGCGGGGGAAAGGGAGGGGGGAAGGGAGGGGGGAAGGCGGGCGGAAGGGATGGGGACGGAGACATGAGAAGATGGGCGCTGATCTCATCATCCTGCCACTGTGAGGGGGGGAGGGCAGGTGAGGGGAAGCGGAAACGGAGGGGAGACAGAGGGGAGGCAGAAAGAAGGGGAAATGGAACAGGGAACGGAATGGGGATGGGGATGGGGATGGGGATGGGAGTGGGGATGGGAGTGGGGATGGGAGTGGTGATGTTTGTGGGGATGGGATAGGAGTGGGGATGGGGATGGGAGTGGGGATGGGGAATGCGGATGGGCAAGGGGACCCTCACTCACCCCATGCACATGCAGCAGTCCCACATGAGCAACTCCAGACGCACCCTTGCGTCCAGCCCAATGGGATGGGGATGGACACAGGAGGTGGGATCGCTGCACCACATGCATTCGGTCTTACCCCATCCACCCTTCTTATCCCATCCACCCTTCTTATCCCATCCACCCTTCTTATCCCATCCACCCTTCTTATCCCATCCACCCTTCTTACCCCATCCACCCTTCTTACCCCATCCACCCTTCTTACCCCATCCACCCTTCTTACCCCATCCACCCTTCTTACCCCATCCACCCTTCTTACCCCATCCACCCTTCTTACCCCATTGACTCGCAGCAGTCCCACATGAGCCAACTCCAGTCGCATCCTTGATTCCAGCCCCATACCTCTCCACTCCTCCGCACTCAGCGGCCCTCCTCCCCGACTCCCCCTCTCTCCCCCTCCCCCCCCCAACAGCCCTCCCCTTGGCCCCCTCCCCCCTTCCATCTGTCCCCAAATCTGCCCACTAATGGGCTGCCAGCTGTTTGATTGGCTGTTTCTAATTCGACCGAAATCAACCTGCCCCCATGTGTGTGACTGTGACAGTAACGAAGGGCCCCGAAGCAGGTTCCCGGAAAGTGCTGCATCAGATAACACCTCCTCTTCTGGAGGTAAAACCCACTCCACCTCCCCTCCCTCCCCCCCTCCTCCATTCTTCTCCCTCTTCCTGCCTGCTGCTGCTCCTCCATCCCCCCCACCCCCATTCTCCAAAACACCCCTTAAAAACCCCTCCTCGCCCTCCTCTCCTTCGTCCTTCGCACCTCCTCTCTCCCCTTTCCCTCTCTTTTCACCATCCCCTTCCTTTTCCTCCACCTCTTCCTCCTCCTCCTCGTCGTCCTCCTCCTCTTCATCATCCTTACACTCTCCTCCTTCACTCCCACCCTCCTTGCCACCACCCTGCCTGGGGCAATCAATCAAAGCAGACAGCAGCCGATTCACTATCGACTCACCAACCACTCCTCCCCACTCCCTCCCACCCCCTCCCAAACCTCCATCCAGACCTCCTCCCGCCCCTTCCAGCCCGCCTGCGGGCGAGCGGTTACCACCAGCAGGTGTTACAGCCATGAGAGAAGGTAGAGCATGCAGGGCGCCAGAGGGGCGAGACTCTGAGCCTCCCATAAACAACCCCACCACGTTCCCATTCCCGTTCCCAATGCCGTTGCCGTTACGGTTACAGTTACCAGCATCACCGGCTGGGATGCCTGTGGCGGGATCTGTGTGCCCGTCTGCTGCTCTTGCGCCTGCTGCTCCCTCTGTTGCTCCAGACTGCAACACATCGATGGAGAGGAGAGGGAAGAAAACGGTAAACTGGGATTGAGAGAGAAAAAGCGCATCAAGTGACAGTTTAGGCACAGAATGCCTGTGGTGGGATGGCTGTGGTGGGATGGCTGTGGTGGGATGGCTGTGCTGGGATGGCTGTGCTGGGATGCCTGTGCTGGGATGCCTGTGCTGGGATGCCTGTGCTGGGATGCCTGTGCTGGGATGCCTGTGCTGGGATGCCTGTGCTGGGATGCCTGTGCTGGGATGCCTGTGCTGGGATGCCTGTGCTGGGATGCCTGTGCTGGGATGCCTGTGCTGGGATGGCTGTGCTGGGATGCCTGTGCTGGGATGGCTGTGCTGGGATGGCTGTGGTGGGATGCCTGTGCTGGGATGCCTGTGCTGGGATGGCTGTGCTGGGATGCCTGTGCTGGGATGCCTGTGCTGGGATGGCTGTGCTGGGATGCCTGTGCTGGGATGGCTGTCCTGGGATGCCTGTGCTGGGATGGCTGTGCTGGGATGGCTGTGGTGGGATGCCTGTGCTGGGATGCCTGTGCTGGGATGGCTGTGCTGGGATGCCTGTGCTGGGATGCCTGTGCTGGGATGGCTGTGCTGGGATGCCTGTGCTGGGATGGCTGTCCTGGGATGCCTGTGCTGGGATGCCTGTGCTGGGATGGCTGTGCTGGGATGCCTGTGCTGGGATGCCTGTGCTGGGATGCCTGCTGGGATGCCTGTGCTGGGATGCCTGTGCTGGGATGCCTGTGCTGGGATGCCTGTGCTGGGATGCCTGTGCTGGGATGCCTGTGCTGGGATGCCTGTGCTGGGATGCCTGTGCTGGGATGCCTGTGCTGGGATGCCTGTGCTGGGATGCCTGTGCTGGGATGGCTGTGCTGGGATGCCTGTGCTGGGATGCCTGTGCTGGGATGGCTGTGCTGGGATGCCTGTGCTGGGATGCCTGTGCTGGGATGGCTGTGCTGGGATGCCTGTGCTGGGATGCCTGTGCTGGGATGCCTGTGCTGGGATGCCTGTGCTGGGATGCCTGTGCTGGGATGCCTGTGCTGGGATGCCTGTGCTGGGATGCCTGTGCTGGGATGCCTGTGCTGGGATGCCTGTGCTGGGATGCCTGTGCTGGGATGCCTGTGCTGGGATGCCTGTGCTGGGATGCCTGTGCTGGGATGCCTGTGCTGGGATGCCTGTGCTGGGATGCCTGTGCTGGGATGCCTGTGCTGGGATGGCCTGTGCTGGGATGCCTGTGCTGGGATGCCTGTGCTGGGATGCCTGTGCTGGGATGCCTGTGCTGGGATGGCCTGTGCTGGGATGCCTGTGCTGGGATGGCTGTGCTGGGATGCCTGTGCTGGGATGGCCTGTGCTGGGATGCCTGTGCTGGGATGCCTGTGCTGGGATGCCTGTGCTGGGATGCCTGTGCTGGGATGCCTGTGCTGGGATGCCTGTGCTGGGATGCCTGTGCTGGGATGCCTGTGCTGGGATGCCTGTGCTGGGATGCCTGTGCTGGGATGCCTGTGCTGGGATGCCTGTGCTGGGATGCCTGTGCTGGGATGCCTGTGCTGGGATGCCTGTGCTGGGATGCCTGTGCTGGGATGCCTGTGCTGGGATGCCTGTGCTGGGATGCCTGTGCTGGGATGCCTGTGCTGGGATGCCTGTGCTGGGATGCCTGTGCTGGGATGCCTGTGCTGGGATGCCTGTGCTGGGATGCCTGTGGTGGGATGCCTGTGCTGGGATGCCTGTGCTGGGATGCCTGTGCTGGGATGCCTGTGCTGGGATGCCTGTGCTGGGATGCCTGTGCTGGGATGGCTGTGCTGGGATGCCTGTGCTGGGATGCCTGTGGCGGGATCTGTGTGCCCGTCTGCTGCTCTTGCGCCTGCTGCTCCCTCTGTTGCTCCAGACTGCAACGCATCGATGGAGAGGAGAGGGAAGAAAACGGTAAACTGGGATTGAGAGAGAAAAAGCGCATCAAGTGACAGTTTAGGCACTGGGATGCCTGTGGTGGGATGGCTGTGGTGGGATGGCTGTGGTGGGATGGCTGTGCTGGGATGCCTGTGCTGGGATGCCTGTGCTGGGATGCCTGTGGTGGGATGGCTGTGCTGGGATGGCTGTGCTGGGATGCCTGTGCTGGGATGCCTGTGCTGGGATGCCTGTGCTGGGATGCCTTTGCTGGGATGCCTGTGCTGGGATGCCTGTGCTGGGATGCCTGTGCTGGGATGCCTGTGCTGGGATGCCTGTGCTGGGATGCCTGTGCTGGGATGCCTGTGCTGGGATGGCTGTGCTGGGATGCCTGTGCTGGGATGCCTGTGCTGGGATGCCTGTGGTGGGATGCCTGTGCTGTGATGCCTGTGCTGGGATGGCTGTGCTGGGATGCCTGTGCTGGGATGCCTGTGCTGGGATGGCTGTGCTGGGATGCCTGTGCTGGGATGGCTGTGCTGGGATGCCTGTGCTGGGATGCCTGTGCTGGGATGGCTGTGGTGGGATGGCTGTGCTGGGATGCCTGTGCTGGGATGCCTGTGCTGGGATGCCTGTGCTGGGATGCCTGTGGTGGGATGGCTGTGCTGGGATGGCTGTGCTGGGATGCCTGTGCTGGGATGCCTGTGCTGGGATGCCTGTGCTGGGATGCCTGTGCTGGGATGCCTGTGCTGGGATGCCTGTGCTGGGATGCCTGTGCTGGGATGCCTGTGCTGGGATGCCTGTGCTGGGATGCCTGTGCTGGGATGGCTGTGCTGGGATGCCTGTGCTGGGATGGCTGTGCTGGGATGGCTGTGGTGGGATGCCTGTGCTGGGATGCCTGTGCTGGGATGGCTGTGCTGGGATGCCTGTGCTGGGATGCCTGTGCTGGGATGGCTGTGCTGGGATGCCTGTGCTGGGATGGCTGTGCTGGGATGCCTGTGCTGGGATGCCTGTGCTGGGATGCCTGTGCTGGGATGCCTGTGCTGGGATGCCTGTGCTGGGATGCCTGTGCTGGGATGCCTGTGCTGGGATGCCTGTGCTGGGATGCCTGTGCTGGGATGCCTGTGCTGGGATGCCTGTGCTGGGATGCCTGTGCTGGGATGCCTGTGCTGGGATGCCTGTGCTGGGATGCCTGTGCTGGGATGCCTGTGCTGGGATGGCTGTGCTGGGATGCCTGTGCTGGGATGCCTGTGCTGGGATGCCTGTGCTGGGATGCCTGTGCTGGGATGCCTGTGCTGGGATGCCTGTGCTGGGATGGCTGTGCTGGGATGCCTGTGCTGGGATGCCTGTGCTGGGATGCCTGTGCTGGGATGCCTGTGCTGGGATGCCTGTGCTGGGATGCCTGTGCTGGGATGCCTGTGCTGGGATGCCTGTGCTGGGATGCCTGTGCTGGGATGCCTGTGCTGGGATGCCTGTGCTGGGATGCCTGTGCTGGGATGCCTGTGCTGGGATGCCTGTGCTGGGATGCCTGTGCTGGGATGCCTGTGCTGGGATGCCTGTGCTGGGATGCCTGTGCTGGGATGCCTGTGCTGGGATGCCTGTGCTGGGATGCCTGTGCTGGGATGCCTGTGCTGGGATGCCTGTGCTGGGATGCCTGTGCTGGGATCTTTTGAGACGTCTCAAAAATCTGTGTGCCTGTCTGCTCTTGCACCTGCTGCGCCCTCTGTTGCTCAAAACTGCAAAAACAAATGGGATGGAGATGAAAGAAACGCATTCACTGGTGGTACTGAGACGGAAGAAACGGGATTGACTGAAATTGCAGCTGCTGGGATGACTGTGGGTGGGGTGGTGGGGGACTGTGTGTCTGTCTGCTGCTTCTTCCCTCTGTGGCTCCAGACTGCACAAGCGTTGGGGATGGAGCGGGTGGAAAAGGGATTGATTAGGATGGCCATAGCGGGGTCGGTGTTTCCTGTCTGCCTTTGTGCCAGCAGCAGCCAAGTTGGCCAACTCGCTCGCCTGCTGCACGTGGCTTGACCCTGCTGTCTGCTCTTCCCTCTTTTGTTCCACACTGCACAAGCGTTGCAATTGAGAGGGAAGAAAAGCATCGATTGTATAGACAATAAATGAGCCTGCTTGGATCGTCTCAGGACAGGATTCCGTTAAAAAACTTGACAGCTTTGAAAGGCTCATGCTAGCAGCATCAAGCCACTTTCGAATGCTCACCATCTGCCTGAGTCTCGCGAGGTCCTCTGGAGCAGGAAAGTGGAAGAATGGCTCCACTGCTTTCCAAAAGGGGCTGGACGCTGCTGCAGCTGCAGGCGTGGCGTAGGTGGGGGTGGGGGGGGGGGGGGGGGGGAAGGGGAGGGGGGTGGGGGAAGAGAAGGAAAGAGTTGGGTTGGGAAGAGAAGGAAAGAGAAGGAAGGAGTTGGTTCCTTACTCAAGGCAAGTGGAAGAATGGCTCAGAGGCCTTTCATGAGGGACTGGGCGCTGCTGCAGCTGCAGGCACGGGGAAGGTGAGGGGGTAGGAGGAAGGGAGGGGGAGGGGAAGTGGGGGTTTGGAAAGGGGTGCACAGACAGTGGGCTGCACAGCAGCTGGAGCTGGGAAAGGGACTAGAAGCTCTAGCTTATGTGCTTAAATACTGGTATGGGACTCATGCATGCACACATACATACATGCACCATTTGCCAAGCGAAGGGTTTTGCGAGCGATTTATGAGAATCCCCAAAAAAATATGGCACACAAAGGCAATAGCCTCAAAAAGTGCCTCACCTCCCGTGTTCATGGCTGCCTGAATGGCATTTGATAGCTCCTCCGCATCATCGTCCGAATCACCTGAAGGTAGTGGAAGAACACGCACTGAGAAAATGTGATTAATCACAGGGAGGTGTGATGTGAGCACGAGAGCTGCCAACACATGGGGCGCAGCACCAAGGCGAAGCACAACGAATTAAAAAAAAACTTTGAACGCATGCTCCCAGGCTGTTTCATTTCGACAAACACTGCACTCAGCTAAGAGAAACACTTACCGGACTCCTCCACAGGACTTTCGAGGCGCCTCGAATGAAAGACTTACTGGACTCCTCCACTGGGTTGCCTACATGCATGCGCCTCTGCACGCAGTGGAGGAGTCCAGTACGCTGCATGCATGCACGGACGCATGCGAGCATGCCCCCAAGCTGTTTCTGCAAGCATCACACACTCAGCTAATCGAAAGACCTACCGGAATCTTCCATTGGGCTGTCTGCATGCATGCGCCTCTGCACCCTGTTGGCTGCATTGCGCCTGTCCACCCTGCCGCCCCTGGTTGGAGTTAATGATGACAAAAGGTCAGGGAACAGGGCGGGGGCTGAAAGGGAGGGAGAGAGGGAGAGAGCATGCATGCGCCTCTGCACGCTATTAGGCGCAATGTGAAATGAGGGTGTTTTTGAGACGTCTCAAAAGCACCCTCATTTCACAGAGCACGCATGCGCCTCTGCACGATGTTAGCCGCAATGCGCCTGCTGATCCTAGTTTGGATTGGAGGAATATTACAGGAGGCGGGCAAAAGGGGAGGTTGTATGGAGAGGGAGGGAGAGTGCATGCATGCTCCCTCCCCCGCTGTGTACTGTGCAGCCAACAGGCGCTGCAGAGCCACATGCACGCTCTACGATGTGCGCCCGTTGGTGCCTGTTGGCTCAAAAGTCGCATCGCACCTGTTGAATCCCCTTGGCGCCTGCTTCACTGGCTTGCGACTTTTGAGTTGCCTCTAGTGACAGCATAAGAGCCTCACCTCTCTCCTTTGTCCAACCCTAGCCGGGACGTGCGAATCTGCTTCACATTATTCGCCACGCCAACCACTCCGCCTGCTCCACCACCACCACTGCCACCACCACCACTCCCACCACCACCACTGCCCCCTCCACCCGCAGCAGAGGCAGCACCACCAGTGCCACCAGCACCACTACCCAGCACCCCACCATCATCCGCCCCTTCACTCCCCACGCTAGACACAGCTTCTTTCTTCAATCTCAACCCCCCAGCAGCCACTAATCGCCCCGTCCTCCCCTGTCGCCTCACCCCATCCGCCCCTCCCGCCCCCCCCCCTCCTCCACCTCCCCCTTCCTCCTTCACTATCCCCCCTCCTCCCTCTGCTTTCTCTCTCATTCTCCCCAGCTTGCCCTTTTTGTCTTTTCTCCGCACCTTAGCCAATCCCGTGCCTCGAGACTGGACCTCCGACAAGCCCCCTGTCTCCCCCCCCGCCCCTCCGCCTGCTCCCCCTAAGCTCTCCCCCGCGCCCCCCAAATGCCCCCCCACGCTCCCACTCTCTGTCGGCCAAAGTCCCCCTCCCTCCCGCCCACCCCCACCCCCTTCCCCATCCATCTCCTCCCCCCCATACCCCTCCTCGTCCCCTTCCCCACCCCCTTCACTCACCCCCACAGACCCTAACGGCGACATAGCCATACCTAAACCAGCTCCCGCCCCCCCTCCCGCTCCCCCTACCCCCCCTGCTGCTGCGGCGCCAGTTCCCCCTGACCCTCCCCCTGCTCCCCCTCCTGCTGCTGCTTTATGCAGCTTGCCTGGCTTTCTCCCCCTGCTAGTAGGAGGCAGCCCAGACTGATTTCCCTGCTGATGATGCTGCTGCTGGTGATGCGGCTGGTGCTGCTGATCCCACAATCCAGCCCCATCCCCTCCGCCCTCTCGTTCAGACTGAACGGAATGAGCAGGGGAAGCAGCTCGTGCGCCAAACGCCCCTTTCCTATCTGCTGCTCCCCCTCCTACCTTTCGCACTGCCGCTCCTCCCCCACCACCTCCTCCTCCCCCTGCTGCTGCTCCCGAGTTCCCCACTCCGCCCGCGCCTGCCTTGTCTCCCCCAGCCCCTTGTCCCCCGCCCAGCGTCCTAGGGCCGCGGGTGGCTCGTCCTTTAGTGATCCCCGCTCCGCCTCCCCCTCCCCCTACGCCTCCGCCTCCACTGCTCTTGGGGGCATTTTCTTCCCCCTGAAGCGGGCTTCCAGGCACAGACGAGCCTCCCCCTCCGCCCCCTCCACTCCCACCACTCCCCCCGGCTCGCATGGTGCCAAACCTCCCACTAGCATCCCTTGTCTGGTGCAACCCTATCCCCTTGCCCGCCTGTCCCTTAGGCCCACTATCACTACCTCCTCCCCCTCCCCCATCACCTGCTCCTGCCCTGCTTCCAGACGTCACCCCATGCACAGGTCCGGCCCGGAACACCGAGCCTGAGCCCAAGCCTGCTGCCGAGCCTCCAGGCTTGTGCGAAGAGCTCGAAAGGGACCGCTTGAGCCCCCCTCCCGCGCCTGTTGCTGCAGCAGAAGCACCACCACCAGCACCACCACCGGCAGCACCAGTACCAGTACCAGCAGCAAGAGAGTCTGTTACTACGCCGTTGACACTCCCTCCTGCTGCAGTTGCAGTCCCTGCAACATCTGCCTTGGGGCGGGATCGCTTGCCCTTCATCTTTCTGTGCTGCTGCTGCCCCTCGTGTCCGCTTGCCCCTGCTGCTCCTCCTGCTGCTGCGCCAGACCCTGCGAGGTGCTTTTGATCTGAGGCGTTTTCGTGGTTCGACTGGTGGTGGAAAGGAGGTGGGGCGAGCAGATGCGGGGAGAGAGGAGAGACAGGACGCATTGGAGGATGACGACAGAACTGCTGAATAGACTCCTCTGTTGATAGAAAGAACAAACTAACTAACGACTGAGGAAGGGACGGGGAAAGAGGAGAGGAATGGGGACGCGAAGAGAGGAGGTTAAGGGAGGGACAAAGCAGCAGTAAACAGAATGGAAAAATTGATGTGGATTGGGGACAAGGGGATGGATTGGACGGAACACATACTGGAAGGCAGGCGATTGACAAGAAAAGGTGCAAGACAAGAATGAAAGTGTCATGAAGGAAAGTGAAGGTAGCAGGAAGGAAGGGCAGGTGGCACAGAGGGAAAGGATACGGTTTCGCGGTGCAGAACGGAGAAGCAGGAGTAAATTGCTGACATGGGAGTGGGCTCAGAAGTGGTCAACGGGGTCAACAGGAGTCAAGGGGAGTCAACGGGGTTCAACGGGAGTCAACGGAATCAACAGGATTTAACGGGGTCAACGGGGACAACAGGAGTCAACGGGGTCAACTGGAGTCAACGGGGTCAACTGGAGTCAACGGGGTCAACTGGAGTCAACGGGGTCAACTGGAGTCAACGGGGTCAACTGGAGTCAACGGGGTCAACTGGAGTCCACGGGGTCAACTGGAGTCCACGGGAGTCAACGGGATTCGACGGGTCACGGGAGTCAACGGGAGTCAATGGAGGCAACGCACCAATGTGCGCGCATGCCGGTTCGCCCCACCCCCAGCTTTCGAGTGCCCCAGCCCTGTCCGTCCCCCTCCTCCCCCTCCTCCCCCACCACCACCCCCAGCCCCTCCCCCCGCTGCTCCAACCCCAGCACCACCATCACCAGCACTCCCACTGCTTCGGCTGTTATCCCCCGGCGTCCCAGCTGCCCCGCTCGCGCCGCCAGCACTGACAGCAGCGCCGCCAGCAGCAGCGTTGGCTCCGTCGCCCCTGCCCGCGCGCCTCCTCATGCTCACACCGTTGAGCCACGTGTCGAGACGTGATAGGGCGTCCTGCAGATGTCGAGTCCGATCCCTGGAGGAGAAGGGGGAGAGTGGGGAGGGGAAGGGTGGCGGGAGGAGAACGGGGAGGGGGAAGGGGGGAGAGGGAAGAGGGAAGAGGGAAGAGGGAAGAGGGAAGAGGGAAGAGGAGAGAGGGGAGAGAGGACGCGGGAGGAGAAGGAGTGCTGCGTGAGAAAGGATAGCTCTGAATTTGGTCTGAAGTATAATCTGTGAAGTTGGTGAGCACGGAGATAAAAATGTTGTTTTGAGACGTCTCAAAACCAACACTTTTATCACGTTGGACAGCACGGAGAACGGGAATCAGCCATGATGGGCTCGAGCTCAGCGACACATTGCACAACGACTCCAGGCACTCCCACGAGGATCAAACTGACTAATTTAGAAACGCCCACCATAACCGATGTGACTGTATCGAACATCCCCCATACAATACCAAATGCCTCACCTTGCACGATCTCGACCATCCCTCAGCGCCGCCACCATCCTCCTCCGCTCCTCACCCGTTACAGTCACAACAGGCAAGCCTCCCCCAGCTGCCGCCTGGTCCGCTCCCCCTTCCCCCAGTCCCCCCGCAGCTCCCCCCGAAGCTCCTTCCCGCGCCTTCCCCACTGCGGAATCCAGCTCCGCGTGTCTCCCGAACTGTAGTTCCCCGGTAGAGAGCTCTTCCAGCGACAGTATGCGCGCGAGAGACGATTCTCCACGAGAGGCGGAACCTCCGCCAGCGGCGGAGCATCCCCCGGCAGCGGACGCTCCCCCAGCAACGCCTTTCCCCGCGAACCCCGCACCGGTTCCACCGCCGGAACCGCTCCCGCCGATTCCGCCTCCAGCGGGTTGCCCCTCGTCCGCATATTCCGCGGAAACCATTCCTCCCGCTGGTCGACCCGAGAGGCCCGGACCCTCCTGGCCAGCTGGCTGATCGTTACTGGCGTCTAGAAACCCTTGATCGCCGGGCTGCGATTGCTGCTGACCTGGCAGTGAGGAATGTGGTTGCTGCTGACCTGGCACTTGGTCGGTGGCAGGCCAACCTGACGCGAAGTCGCCACCCTCCTGGTCCTGCAAGTACTCGTATTGGCGATCCATGGATTTGGCTACGAATCCTAACATACGCGGGATGGAATATCGTAAGCGAAACGAGGGTAATATGCTTCGGCTCGCGTTAGCAGACACGGACGGACTGGCGACAATGGAGTCCTGACCGAACACTTGAAGAATGCGGTAGTCAGTTTGACAGTGAAGGTGAGGCAAGCAGTTTAAAACTTAAGGGCTTGCAAGCTGGCTGTAAGACGCGAAAATAAATGACGAGAGACGGTATTAGTGGATGTAACTAATGAAAGGACTGGCAACGGTTTAGCATGGCGCGTCGCGCAGCCATGGCGGGAAGATTGATTGGGTGAATGCTGTCTGACTCGAAACCCTAAACTGATGACTCAGATTGAAAGTGAAAGTAGCAGCGAGCCACAACTCCATACTCGCTATAGAAAGCACACTCTAACACCCACATTCATACTAAACTCTACGATCCAAATCCACTGGATTTGTCATTCGTTTGTCATGATACCTTATGAACAAAGAAAATGCTCTCCGCTCTCTCCGCCTTACGGCGACCATGGATTCTGCCGTGCCTACAACGGTCAACTTCCTCGCTATCATGCCATACGTTTTCTTCCATTGTTGTTAAAAGCATCGCCTGCAACTTTAACAATGGAATACCGGTCATTTCTGCTGACCTAGGTTTCTCCAGTTATCAGGCGACAACTCACGGAGTTCGTCAGGCATTGCCCGGTTTCACTGCCATTAAAGGCTTGCGCCATGGTTTCATTGACTTCACTTTTTATAAGAACTACTGCTACAACTATTCCATTATCAACAATGATACTATCAAGGTGGCGGCCTCCAGAATGCATCATCACCTGCTCGAGATGTCAAAATAATGAACGAGAATGAATGAACTATGAAAGAGATGGGTACAAGTACTAACCCTAATTGGGTTGTACCCCTTATGGGCTACCCCACTATAGCCTACACAAATGTAACCACTATAACATTCTGACACACCCCCATAGGCAAAGCGGGGGAGAACAAGTGGTCACAAGACCAGTCAAGAAAAGCAAAGCAAGCTCAGGGTGGATCACAAAGTCACCACACAGTCCGAGCACAAGCAAAGGGCCACAAGGCCAGTTCACATGCAGAGTTATATAACGAACACAAACAATACAGTGATCATACCCTAGCAATGCAGGTACATATATAGATCACAGTACAAGCAAGGTTATGGAATGAGCAAATGAGGCAAAGTAGGCACAAGGCCTAACACAGTAGAGAAGCGCTGATGGTCAACAGGCGGAAGTGCCTTGGTGAATATATCAACAGTATTGGCCCTACTGGCCACGTACGCAAGACGAAGCTGGTCACGCTGCTGCAACTCTCGAGCAAGGAAGTATCGCAGAGCGATGTGCTTCGTCCTGTGCTCCAGTCTGTGCTCCTAACACAAGGCAATCATGGCCTTGTTGTCTATGTACAGAACTGGAGGCGAACGAGACTGCTCTCCCAAGTCAGTCAGCAGGTAGGTGAGCCAGCGTAGCTCCTGTGCAGCCATGGCCCTGGCGTAGATCTCAGCCTCACAACAGGAGCTGAGAACAGAAGACGAGTGGGTAGACCGCCAGGAAACAGAGCCAGAATCGAGGCTGAAGGTGTAACCCTGTGACGACCGCTGCGTAGCTGAGTCGTCAACCCAAGAAGCGTCTGTGTGACCAGTGAGGACAAGTGGACCTTTCGGTGCCTGCAAGGAGCCACGTAGCGAGCCAGAAGGCTGAGAGGGTACGCAAGGTCAGGTCGTGTGCAGGTCATCAGGTACATGAGGCAACCCACAAGCTCTGGGTACAGACCACTCGGCTCTACGGACTCGTCCAAAGGTGGAGCTGAGAGCGAGTGTCCGGTAGATAGAGGAGTGGGCTGTGGCGAGGAGAACTGGAAGCTGAAGCGCTGAAGGACCTGGTGCACCATGTGTGATTGAGTCAGTGTGATGGTGCGCCGTGCTTTGTCCCGGGTGATCTGCAAGCCAAGATAGCTGCGCAATTCACCCAGGTCAGTGCAGGTGTGTCTCTTCTGCAGCTCCGACTTCACAAGGGCCAGTGCCTCAGTGTCAGCAGTGGCAAAGACCAAGTCGTCGACGTACACGAGGACGTAGAACGGCGATAGCGAAGTGTCGGTGCGTAGAAACAGCGACGGGTCAGCAGTAGAAGGGGCAAACCCAAGAGCCGCAAGCGTCGTCCTCAGTGTGTCGTGCCACTCGCGAGGTGCTTGGCGGAGAACGTAGACTGGCCGGCGGTGGCACCACTGGGTACCTGCAGGAAACGACCCGGTGAAGCCAGGTGGGCGGCGCAGCCAGATCTCCTCGTGCAGGCTGCCATGCAAGAAAGCTGTGCTGAAGTCAAGAGAGTGCAGCTCGTAGTCATGCTGAGCAGCGACGTGCAGCAACACCCGAAGAGTGGTCATCTTCGGGGTGGGGGAGAAGGTCTGGAAGTAGTCAACCCCCTGTCGCTGTCTGAAGCCTCGAGCAACGTAACGCGCCTTGAAGGTAGGCGGAGAACCCTGCGACCGCTTCACCCTGAAGATCCACATGCCATCTACTATGTTCGCCCCAGGAGGAGGAACCTCGTCGACGTAGGTGCCTTTGGACTTCCAGGATGCCATCTCGGCATCCATGGCTGCCTGCCACGGAGAGGAGTAAGGACCCGTAATCGCCTCTGCGTAAGAGCGCGGGGTCGCGATGTCTGGTGCATCCGGGTCTCCCTCAGGGGCAAGCAGCATGGAAGCGAAACGAGGTACAGCAGCTGCAAGACTCTCAAATTCCTCCTGCCTGTCCTCAAGGACGTCCGTGCCAAGAGCACACTCACCCCCGACGGACGGAGGACTGGCAGACTCAGACTCAACAACGAGAGCAGTGGCGTAGTGTAGACGACAGGCAACAGCAAAGTCAACCAGCTCAGCAACGAGGGCAAACGCAGTAGTGGACTCAAAGGAAGGGTCAGTGACAACAGTGGCGAGGAGACGAGAGACAGTGGGACTGGCAGCAGAAGCGCGGTCAGACTCAGGGTCAGGGACCTCAGGAAGAGAGGACTCAGGAGGAGGCGGCAGAGGAACACGCAGTGGAACAGAGGAAGGACGAAGTGCCATAGCGTGCATGCCAGGGACAGGAGGAGGACGCGGACGTGGAACCCGGCGAGCAGTGCGAACAAGCGGGACAGGACAAGACGCAGGCTCACGTCGCTCTGTAAGACCGCCTAACTACTCAGTGTAAGGAGAAGGAGCAGGGAGCGGGGAGGCTGGCTGTAACGGTGGCTGCGACAGGTCAGGCGGCGGACACAGTAAGGGAGGAGGAAGGCCAGCAGAAGACGGGACACCAAGAACCTGCTGAAGCAGGGGAACGAAATAGGGTCGCATCCGCACAGTGCCTCCAGCACCTCCGACTCCAGGGTCAACAGCTCCAGCTCCTCCAGCTCAAGCGCCTCCCGCGTCAGTGCCTCCAGCACCAGTGCCAACAGCTCTAGATCCTCCAGCGTCATTGCCTCCAGCACAAGCACCAATAGCTCCTGCTCCTCCAGCTCCAGCTGCTCCAGGCTCCGTAGTGCCTCCAGCACCAACAGCTCCAGGGGCAACAGCTCTAGCTCCTCCAGCTCCAGTGCCTCCTGCGCCAGTGCCTCCAGCACCAGCGCCAACAGCTCCAGCTCCTCCAGCTCCAGCTGCTCCAGGCTCCGTAGGGTCTCCAGCTCCTCCAGCTCCAGCGCCTCCAGTGCCTCCAACACAACTAGTCCTGGCAGCTCCAGTACCCCTGGTACGAGCACCTTCAGGTCCAGCAGCCGCAGTACCTCCAAGACCACCAGCTCCAGTAGTAGCTCCAGCACCTCTAGCTCCAATAGCTCCACTCCGAAGGCGTGCGCGCCGAACAAGCCACTCACGCAGCTGCTGCGGGGAGAGAGCCTCCGGCCGTGGAGACAGGCTCGGCGAAGCACCAGCAGGACCTCCAGACGAAGCAATACCCCGAGGCTCAGTACCCCTAGACTCCGCACCCTCCGACTCAGCACCCCCAGGCTCAACATCCGCAGGCTCAGCACCCCCAGGCTCCGCACCCCCAGGCTCAGCACCCCCAGACCCCGCACCCTCTGGCTCAGCACCCCCAGACCCGGCACCCTTAGACTCAGCACCCACAGACGCAGCACTTGAGCCGATAGCTACCTCAACAGGCGCAGTACCAGGGAGAGGGTCTACCTGAGACACACCTGAGGGAGCAGGACCCTGGGGGGCGAGGGGGTCTACCGAAGGGGGACCTGGAGCAAGGAAGATCGACAAGGGTGGGGGAGGGACAGAGCGGTAGGGGAAGAGACGGTAAAAGGGAACCGACTGTTCAAACGTGACATACTGAGAGGGGAAGACACGGCGCGAGGTGGGGTGGTAAAACTGCCAGCCAGGCGCGTCAGGGGAAATGCCAAGGAAGACGCAGGGAATAGCGCGGCCGGAGAGCTTGTCCGCGGACGTATCGCGAACAAAGGCATGAGAACCCCAGACCCGGAACACCGACGCATCGCCAACCTTCCCCGTCCAACGCAGTGTAGGCGAGGTCTCCGGCAAGGAGACACGGGGCCAGAGGTTGAGCTGATGCGCAGCGTACCGGACCGCAAACGACCACAGAAAATGGGGAGCAGCCACATGAATCATTGAGGTACGAGTGACCTCCATGACTAGGCCAATGCGGTGCTCAGCAATCCCATTTTGCTGAGAGGAGTCCGGAAGCGTGAACGACTGGAGAATGCCCTCCCCACGACAAAAGTCCCGCAAGAGGTCAGAGGAAAACTCACCACCTCTGTCAGAGTGCAGACGTAGGATGGGAAGGTCCTAGCGGAACCGCTTGCGGAGCTGGAGACGGACTGCGCGGATCCAAGGGATCAAGACATCAACGACCTGACCCTTGATGCGCAAGCGGAAGACCGTGGTGTACCGCGTATATTTGTCAACAACCAGCAAAAATTAGCGCTCGCGGCCCTGTCCACTGACGCGGGCTGGGCCCCACACGTCCATGTGGAGAGTCTGCAGGGGAATTGTCGTCG